AATCTTGGACTTTCAGGAAGCTGCTAAAACTTAGAACATGGGCATCATCCTTCTTTCGTTTCCGATTTGGTAATGGATGTCAAACCAGATTCTGGTTTGACCCATGGACACCCATGGGTCCGCTGATCGCTTTCTTGGGTCGAGGAGGGCCAATGATGTTGGGAATTCCTCTCCGCGCCACTGTTGCAGAGGTTTACTCTAACGGCTCGTGGTCAATTGCTCCCCCTAGATCAGAAAACTCTCTTCAACTTGCCATTTACCTAGCCTCGACTACTCTGTCTGATAGCCAGGACGAGGTAACATGGCAAGTCGATGGAAAGGTAATGACTATATTCTCCTCTAGAGAAATCTGGAAATCGATGTGTCATCCATCCGACAATATATCTTGGACTGATGTCGTTTGGCATAAGCATCATATCCCGAAGTTTGCTTTCACCATTTGGCTAGTCAATTTGGACAGATGCCCGACAAGAGATAGAATGAATTCATGGGGACTGAATACATATCCGAGATGCCTTCTCTCTCAGGATAGTGTGGAAACTAGAGATCATTTATTTTTTGAATGCCCATATTCTTCAAGGATTGTTGCAGCCTCGTTGGGTACTATGATCCAGATCCCTCCTAACTGCTCTTGGAATGAGATTCTCCACTTGTTAGATCGTAGCATTGGTTGCAGGGTTAGAAGATTCACAGTCCTATCATTATGGCAGATAATAATCTACATGATTTGGAAAGAGATGAACAAGAGGCTGCATCGAAGTTACTTCTCAGATGTCTCCTTACTGATCAGGGATATTGACAGGGTTTTTCGGACACGTATTGCTGCCCTGCGCTCTTCCTCACCTGAACTGGCAAGCTTAAGTCTGCAGCTTTGGTTCAACAGTAACCCGCTACCTACTCCACTGATACAGACCAACTAATAGAGCCAATCTCTGTTAATTTTTTGTAATGGTGTTCACCCACTATGTATTGACAACTATGTATCTTTTTCGTTAATACAAATCTTTATAAAAAAAAAAAGATATACAAAGTATGAACATAATAAATTAGTGTGATCACCATAAATTTAACGTTATAATCGATAAAATCAAAATGTGACCACACTATATTTCGGTCACATTGGTCACATGGTCACAATGGTAAGTCTTGAATTAGAAATAACAAATTAAGGGTATTTTTAATATAATACCGATTTAGTCACATGAAAGAAAAGTATATGACTGATATTCTTTTAAATTAGTCTAAAGATTAATAGAAAATGAATCATACCATTTTACATATACATTAGAAAAAAATCGAATTTTCTAAATTCAAACCGAAAAAAATTTGAAAAATCGATTTTTTAAAACAAAAAAAATAATAAAAAAGAATAAAACTGAACCGAACCAAATATAAGATAATAACCAGATATTTATTTTTATAAAACAGAAAGAATCGAACCGAACTATTTTCGACAATATCGAAACGACTACTCTAATATACATATAATATATATATATATATATATATATAATACCCATATATATATGAGAGAGATACGAGAGAGAGAGAGAGAGGGTGGGTAGAATTAAATGTTATATGTTAAGAAAATGCGTAGCATTAATCGAATTGGGCAAGTGAAATGTTATCCAATCTTTTCACGTGGTACTACCTGAAACATGTCCGAACCTTGATGTGACAATTTTCTATTTTTTTCAGCATTTATGAGTACTATACATCCGTATTACATTTATTTTACATCCATAATGCATAAATGATATTCAATTTTTTAAAATTTGAATGAGAGACAAACAAAATGCAAAATAAAGGGGTGGCGTCTTTCCATCGAAGCCCACTAGTCGATTCAATCATATGCATTACAAGGACGAGTCATTTCTGATATTTTTATTTTTATCATATGATAAAAACGAGATATTACACATCAAGAGATTGCTTTGCTTATATATACGTACACACACATATAATCGAATTGTACGTACATATTTAAACTACAATCTTTGATAGTTTAATACGTACGGCCATGTGAGTCCGTACAACGTCGCTAAGTGAAGAGCATGATGGTGATTTATCTTTTCTATTGGGCAACTAATAGAAAATCGAGTACAAAGCAAAGGAGTTATAATCAAAGACGAAAAACTATAACAAATTGTCGTTTATTTCATAAGAAAATAGATTAATATATATTGTTAACTAGTTAATTAAGATTGTGTAATTAATGTTTAAATTATTGCTGTCATATTGACTCGGGCCAATGGATACTTTTATTTTATTGCTCCTTATGTTACGTACCTTCACGTGAACCATTTAATTTTTCTTTTAGAAAAAAAAAGTCATCAGATTAGATAGTTTGCTTTCTTTTTAATCTTCCTCCTTCTAGATATTTGTATTTATTTATGCATTTTGATAACTATATAAACTATATTAACAAAAAAATATATATAGCAAATTGGATATATTTATATCATATTATTTAAAAAAGATAGATTTTTTTAATAAAATAACAGATCATTAAAATTCATAGAAATCAAATTTTAATCTCTATATTTCTCCCTTTAAGACAATTTTGGCACAAGAAAGATAACTCGTGTGTCACACGAACATATTTTCAGTAGTGATTTGGGATATATATATGGTATGGGTAGTAAAAAAAATGTCACAGTATTTATTGCGATATTTAAATCTAGTGCACGTAATTCTTTTTTTGAAACAAAATATCTAACGTAGAAAGTTCTAGACGCAGGGTTACGTGTTCATTCAGAGATACATCGTAGATGGAACTGCATATATATATATATATATATATATATATATATTGATAAAATGGAACTGCATATATATTGAGAGAGATTATCTAAAGACGGAATATAAGTACAAAACCGTCATTACACATTTTTCATGTGATATAAATTAATTGGCGACGATAAATCAAACAGAAGAAAGACAAGGAGGTAAGAGGTATACCCATTTCAAACTTTTGTAAGAAAATTCGTGACAAAAATAAATATTAAAACTTAAAAATCATATTGGTACATATATATAAATAATAAAATGATAATTAATAGCTAGCCTTACTAAAGAGTAAATAGATAATAGCAATTGACAGAAAAATTCAAACACAAAGGGCCCATAGACGCCACATTTACATCTAAAGGGTGTCTCTAGAGATCGGAAGCCACTCATCATTGCATCCCACGTATAGTATTGATGAAGATGACATCCAATGTGTTATATATAATCGCCCAACTTATAGTACATATATATAAATATATATATATATATATATAACTATACGATTGAATATAACACGGTATACGATTGACAAGATACATGGCATTCACAATGGTATATGATATGATTTGGGTTTTCAACCAAAAATAGTATTAACCACTCGATTTGAAATTGTATATATGTATATACACACCTTCATCAAAAGAATATAAACCCCTGTCCCACGGAAGTATCTCTGTCTGAACCCCAAACACAAACCACTGCCCGCATGTGTCCACGGTTAGATTCTGTTTCTACATTACACGCATGCATACACACATGTACACATATATATATATATGTACACACACGTGCGTATGTGTGTGTATGTGTGCGCTCCGCAAATATACAGATATACACACGTATATACAATTATACATGAAAGTATGAAAACAAGAGAATGGGAGCAAATCAGACAGAATTGTCTTTTGTTAGGATGCAATATTTTTCTCTAAACGTGAGCAGTTGGGGACCGGTATAAATGTTTTTTTTTTTTAAGTATAACTGATAATATCTCGTAGGCTAAATAAAAATAAATATATATATATATATATATATCATGAATATTCGTAATATATCCGTTTGGTTGGAGCGAATTTTAAAACTAACCCTTGAATTTTTATATACACAATCCGCCGTTTGGATTATTTTTTTTTGTGAGGGTTTCATGGTACGGACACTACAGCATTTGCATTGTGGTTGCCGCCTTCTTTTTTCATGTTCCCTCGATCCATAATTATGAAGCTTTCAACTTTAAAACGTGCCTTTTTTTTTAATTATACGGTGCTTATCTTCTATATATTTACCAAGGTCGCATTTACAATTATGATACTTAACGCCGTTAACCAACCTCACGCCATCTCATCGTTGATGAGCGCGTGGGTTCCACGCTTTCCCTCGAGGCGGCATGGGGCCATCTGGAGTCACATTGAACGGCTAAGATTCACTCTCAGGATGCTCGTAGTGCAGCTGATAATCTCTCGCTCGAGATGACATGGCAGCGTGTGATTGGACAGTTCGGGGTCACGGTTATCAAACTTCCTCGTGCATTTCCAATTAGTTATCAGTGAACAAAAATGCATTACCCAAAACATAATCTGAATTCTGAAGGCAAATTTTTTTTTTTAAATGGAAAATATTTTACACTATTTATAAATAATGAAACTGTCCGAACTTTATTTAAAATTATGAAACTATCTGAATATCTATCAAAGATATTAAGAAGAGACGTTTGAGTATGTCCTCTCTCTTCAAACCTGGGTCCCACCACCTCCATATCATCATCATCATCATCATGCATGTCGTTTTTTGAGATGATGGCGATGACGACGAGACCTTAATATTTGTCTGCTCTTTTTTTTTTTGGTAAGTTTGAAGGATGAATTGTAATTAAGGGTGAATTAAGAAGAAATCTTACAAAACCTAAGGGTTTTCAAAATTAGTAATCTCTCTCTCTCTTTTGTCCCTATCTTGGAAATTGTTGTTCCCACTCTCTCTCAACCCTCATTTTTTTAGTTAATTTAAATGTTTTTAAAATTAAATCATCATTTGATTCTTTTTCATTCAAAAGCAAACCAAATGCAGTGGACACAATGATGCAATATAATGGGTGCGACCCACTCCAATTTCCATTTTTTTTCTGACTTTGCAAAAAGATAAAAACTGGCCACACGTTTTTTAAATTAAAAACGTTACAAGTTCAACGAAAAAAAATTGGGAACACTAAACACCCATCACTAAAAATACTTTTTTTATTCTCTATAAAATTACTGAAACTATCACAAAACAAAACCCTTATATAACATAGGATTTGATTTTAAAAAAAAGTTTATAAAAAACCCCCCCTCATTTCCATGTATTAACCAGAGAGACCGGAAGGATACAAACTATAAGACATCCACTTTTTAAATAAATATCTTCTGACCATAATATATAATTGTTTATTGGTTCACAATATCACATTATACTGCAGCTTGAAGTGTTCTCATCACTGAACATATGCGAGTACTGGTCTCCGCCATGGGGCGGATACGGGTATGGATACGAATACGGATACGGTTGCTGTTGATACTTGTGCGGGTGCGGCGGCATGTAGTTGACAGCGGGTGGTGGCCGAGCGTACATCATTGGCTGGAACCGCTCGTTCCCCATCGCCCGCTGTTGGTTCATTATGGCCGCTAAATATTGCTGTTGCTGTACTTGTTGCTGCTGCTGCTGCTGTTGGTAGATTGGATTCGGGCCGCTGCCCTGGAAATAACCGGGTCCGCCGCCGGCCGGACTCGAGGTCGGGAGGCCTTGAACCGTTGGGATAGTGCCCATTGGACCACCTCCAATTGAGGGTATACTACCCATTGGACCACCTCCCATGGCCATGGGCAGGCTTATGTTCGGCAGCCCTCCGCCGCCGCCGTTTCCGGCCATTGGGTGAAACCCCGGTGGCATACCTCCACCGCCACCGCCGTTACCCTTCTTACCTCCATTGGGACCTCCATTGTTACCGCCGCCACCGCCCTTATTGTTATTCTGGCCACCTCCGCCGCCACCGCTGCCGTGCAGTTGGCCGCCTCCGCCGCCGTTGCCGTTTTTTCCGCCGTTCTTGCCACCGCCTTGGGTAGGATTCCCTCCGTTACCTCCCTTTTTGCCGGCGTTCCCGTTCCTGTCACCGCCTCCGCCGCCGATGTGAACTGGAACAGGGACAGCGTTGCCACCGTTCTTACCGCCGTTTTTACCGTTACTCCCACCGCCATTACTGGCGTTCTTCTGAGCGTTCATGAGCTGTTGAGCGTTAGGCATTAAGTTCGGCATCATGGGTTTCATCTTGTTCGGCAGAGGAGGGTGATCGTCGAAGCCATCACCATCCAAATCATCATCAAATTCATCGTCGTCATCATCGAATTCATCGTCACTGAAATCATCCTCAGGAACACCGAACTTGACAGATTTCTGACTCGGGGGCGGGTTCTTGCTCACAGGAGCAGGCCCTTTGAAGTCCTTCAGCTGTGGTAGCTTCAGATCTTGAAACCCTTTCAGCTGATGAATCTGTTGCGGGTTTGGCGGCTGACCCATCTTAGGCTGGTTACCTCCACCGCCGTTCTTCTGTCCTTTGTTACCGCCGCCGCCGCCGCCTTTGCCGTGGTCAATCTGCATGTTCTTGAACTGATTGGCCAAGTGGTTGTGGTTCTGATTGTTGTTGTTAGACTTTGGAGCTCCCCAGAGTTCGGCATGCTTGCCAGATTTCGCGAGCTTCTTGATGAGAACCGACGAGTCTACATTACCAGAGACGGTCACTTTCCCTTGTTCTGCATCTATCTTGGTCGTGAACACTCCTGTTTTTCAGACAATAACCAAACAAAAAACAGCGTCAGAGTGAAAAAAAAATCTGTTTTTTTTTTCATGGAGCAAAAAGAAATTGAGATTCAAGTCCAAAGGGTTTGGCGGCATACCTTCAATCTTCTGCAATATCTTCTTGACTTTATGTTTACAACCATCGCAGTGTATGTTCACTTTAAGAACACAAGTCTACATGCACAAACACGGGAACGAGGATTCAAATTAAGAAACCATAAAACAGAAACAGAAGGGGGCGAAATGGCTTTGCGGAGAGAGAAATTCGGCAAACCTGGATCTTCATGAACTCTTCTTTGCTCATATTTTCTCAACCAAGGAACACACACAAACGAAATCAAATCGTCTCTGCCACCAGATCTGGGACAAAGCCTCTGCTCACTCCCGAAGCTTCAATCTGCACAACCAAAGACCCAGGAATGCATTCGTCAAAACATTCAGAACCCACAAAAAAGCATCTTTTTTTTTCACATACACACGCATATATATATATACTCACACGCTCATACAACACATACGCGGAGAGAAGGGCAAATTCAGAGAAGCGAAATGCTTGAAAGAAGCGAAGAAGACGGAAGAAAGGTTCAGACTTTACAGTAAGTTGGTGGGCATTCACTTCACTTCGTCTATTTCCGCCTGAGAGAGAGAGAGAGAGAGAGAGAGAGAGAGAGAGAGAGAGAGAGAGAAGAAGAAGAAGGTGAAGGTGAAGGGGAAGTTGCAACCTTCGTTATCGTTTTTTTTTCTTCAAAAAGAGAGAAGCTTTTAATTTATTAGAGCAAAATGAGTGCTACTACTCTCACTCACATGGGGCCTTTAGTGCTAAAACAAATGTAATACGTTGGTAAATATATTAAAAACTTGTCAATGTTTAATATATTGTTTTATTCAAGGTTAAATATAGAAATTTTCTTATTGAATTAGCATAAAGATGCGACCTTGAAATCGGCAAAATAAAAACGCACTAAATACATACTTTTATTTACATATAATATTCATATCCTGCCATATATAATATATATATTACAATTTTCTAGACATTCAGTGGCTCCGGTTCGGCCCCTTCACGAGTTTCATTTTATGCAGGCCTTGTTTTTTTTTTCTCAAATGTTGATTATAAAAATAATCAGTGTTTTTTTTAAGATAGTCGCGGAATACTAAAATTTAGATATACATGATAATACATAAATATATTTAAAATAAATATTATATCTTTTAAATTAAACTAATTGAATACAATAAATCTAAATAGTGAAAAGAATTGAAAAGTAGATCTAAAATAAATATTTTTTAACCAATATTTAATTTATCGAATGAAATTCAAATTAAAACAGAAATTGATAAGGAAATATAGATTTTATAAAATTGTAAAAAAAAGTAAATTAAAAAATATCCGAACCATAATATAACCAGAATGGTTGAAATATAAAAAAAAAACTTATATTTAGATTTTTTGTTATTAAATATGATTGGGATTATGCTAATGATTTCCGACATAATCACCGGAAAATGTAAACAATGTGTTTGTGGTTTTGTAGACGATTGTGGTAATAATGAAACCTTCCTCAAATCCGTCAAATAAATAAGAAAATTAATTAGTAGTCGTGATCTTACTTAACCAAATAAATTAATATCGAAAATAAAAGCCATTTCAACCTATGTAATATAATAAATATGATTTATAATGTTATCCTTACCTAATTTTATCTGATCGATCTCTCAGTCACCCTTTTGGCTAGTGACAATATTAGGTACTCTTCTCGTTTAATGGGTGCAGCCGTTGAATATTTAGTAATATACATATACCTAAATTAAAGATTATATTATATCCTAAAAATACAATAATTATTATATATATATATATATAATATTAATATTTTTTTATGAAGATATAATATATTAATATGGGTTTGACAGGGCTCAAAACGTGGAATGTTCTCTGGAAAAGCTCAAAAAGAAGGGAAAAAATGATGAGAACAGAGTTTTTTTTCTACTTTTTTTATTTTGGGGGTTTGATTAGTGTTTGTAGGTTCAATAATGATTTTTTTAATAAAAATTTTACGGTTCAAATAATATGTCGCACATACCATACCGATCTATATTGTACATATATATATATATATGCAATAAATAATTCGTGACACAATCATAACTCAGCACGCATGACTGATTTTTTTTAATCATCAACAACAATGGCAATTGTATGAAAATAAGAGCGGATTAATTAGAACTAATTTAGTGAGTTATTTATCCAAATCACGTTCATGCCTATCCATGTTATTACTATTATTATTATTATTACTACTATTAAAGGGTCGGTTTTCATTAGTGATTTGTACGCATTAAGGCTAACCTGCATTTTTTAAGCTTAGGGTATTTGCTATTATCGTAGATTTCATGTATATAATCTGTGTATCAGTGTAAACAACTTGAATAACTTTATAACATTTCATAAAAGAAAGATTGGTAAATCACGTGGGACCATACGGACTAAAAATATAGAAAACTAGTGAGAAGAAAGAGGCGTATTAGGAGAGGAAAGACAGACGAAAACATGATTAATCATTATTATTATTATTATTATTATTGTTATGTAAATCCCAACTCTATTATTATAATTAATTAATAATACAATTATAAATTAAAAATGCTCATAAAAAGAAAAAAAAAATAGGTGGGGGGTTGGGTGAATGATGAAGGCCTCGCCTTAAGAGTGAACATAATCACGTTTTCGGCCATAGCTTTTGATCTTTTTGTTTCTCTCTGATTTCTTTATATATATATACATATATATGTAAGTTCGGAGCCTTTTCTTGTACGCATATATCATTATTGCTGCCTTAAAAGCATGAAACTCCCTCTTGCTTTTAAAATTTTTCACTTTTATTTTACCCCTTTCGGCTTTTTTATTGAAAATTTTCGATTTCCATTTATCACTCTAATATCTTTTGATTGACACACATCTATATTTGAATTATGCATACTTGTATTTAATGAGAAAATTAAAAATAATGAGTTATGTATACTTTGTAAAAATTAAACCGAATATAAAAATATTTAAAAATTGAATGAAACATTTTTTAAAATAAATATTTTTTATAAAAACGAATTTAAATCACGAACAAAAGCGAAATAACTTCAAATTTAATTTTGAAACGGAAATGGTCTAGTTTTTTTAAAACGAAATATTGAATTTGAAAATAAATAAACCAAAAAATAGTTGAAAACCAAAATAAGTTGATGGATGAAAGACCTCGTGTTATTTCACAAAAATAATTAAAATATATAGCATATCTCTGAGATGATAAAATTAAATCATGCACCTAGACTTAATTAGTTGTCTTTGATGGATTTACCCCGAGCTTGGGTGATGATGGTAAAAGAATATATAAAGAATGTTCTCATCTCGGGTTTAAATTTAAATATGTCTATGAATATTCACCCGAATTTTTCTGATCTCATGACAAATATAGCTGGATGAAAGATTTGATAGACTTACGGATTATATTTTTTTTAGGATTTTATAATGTAACCCAATAACTTATAGGAATTAATACCTAAACGTCAGAATGTAACCCAAAAATATTTGTTAGGTGATGTAACATTTAGATGTTCACACATTTTGTTTTTCAATCCATGTACACATATTCCATAAAAATTGAAACTTCGTAACATGGGGACTATATATATACATCGAAAATCCTTATAAATTAGATTCATCTCCATATACATATATATATATATAGCCCGAGTTTATTCTATGCATTGAACATAATAAGATATGGAATTTTGTTAAGTATATGAGGTAAAAAAGACCGTTGCTCGATTTTTCATGAAGAGGTTCGTGGAAGAATCACGTACTGTCTGTGCATGGCGCAAACAAAGTATAGCACGTGAGGTGACTACGTGAGGTGACTGGCTATAGTGTAGTCCCCAAGTCTCATGTAAGAGAGGACAATGTACAATTTTGACATTTAGGATAAGGTTTTACAATACGGTGTTACCGAAGCTGCATGCATGCATGCATGCATGCATGTGGGAACAATTAAGTGTAACGTACTGAAATTGTTGAATTGAATTATTGAGAGAAGGGAAGGGACCCCATGTCAAACATCGGGTAAAAATAATAAAACTGGGAATTTTTTTTTATTTTTTTTTACCACCAATGGTAAATTATATGTGACTTGTCGTTGAGATCTGCCTAAATTGCTCATTCATTACACGACCGATCGAGTCTTCCTTCACATGGGTCCGACATTAATATGATCTTTGTCCGATTCTCCCTTTTCTTGCTTTCCCTCTGTTACCATTCACAATCTTTTCCTTTAGATTCTTCCTTTCTTTTTTTTTTTTGTCAAAAAGTGTATCATAACAGCCCGTCAATAGATATATATACAACAGTAAAATTTCTGGTGGGGATGGCGTCTTGGTAAATTCATAAATGATGATTTAGTTGAGTGTTGGTTGTGTTATAATGATATTTCGTGGTAAATTCAATGTTTTTACGCATATGGTTACAGTGCATACTATCGTTGGGGTTGACGTTTGATAGACATTGTCAAAAAAAAAAAAAAAAGACGAAGAAGAAGAAGAAGAAAAACGTTCGATTTTGAAATATACATATAACCTTTCGTGGCCAGATTCATTCAGAGTTTAAAATTGTTATAAAGATTAAAGTTATTTGGGAAAAAAATTAATAAAATTTTGGGACAATGACCCGAAGTTTCAGCATATAGCATAATAATGTGTATAACCCCTTTAAAATTATGATGCATATATATACACAACATAAAAACCGTGAAAGTGGGTAATTTTGCATAAATATCAAATCTAGTTTTCTGTTCTTTAAATAATTTAACATTAGTATAATCTAAAAACCCAAATTGTGGCATCATCATCATCATCATCATCATCATTATTATTATCACTTTGCCCATACATAATATAACCTATGCCTTGTAAAAATCCAAGATTTACATGTACAACAATGACAGAGAATCAAAAGCTGCAAGATATGACTATGATTTTCTTGACGAGAGAACCAGAGGCAGGGGAGGTGGTGGTTCCACCTTGATCAACAGCTGCTCATCCATGTCTTCCCGGGTCTCGGCTTCGTTCGCCACGGCCATTGTTTCACCGTCCATTCCTTCGTGCTCCGCTAAAGCTTTCCTCAGAGCATCCTTCGCCACCTTCGTGACGCATATCATTAATACCACTGCAGATCAACAAAGAAGACGAAATTTTTTTATATTCAGCACTGAATCATCGTCGTCTATCCAAAAAGCTCGCATCTTTAGTTGCAGGGGACTTTACCGGATACTACGAGGCTTGAAACCAGGAACACCTGCGGATAAAATGCAGGACATGAAACATGATCAGAGACAGACAACTTGAAAGGGAACCCGAAAACTGTAATGAAGATCTCTGTTCGGTTCTTTACCCAACGGCTCATGGAAAACTCGCTCCACCCGTGTGTCACGTCAGAGAGATCTTTCAGAGTTGTTCCAACATACACTAACGCCAGCGTTATTGGCTGCGGATAAAGAACATATCGAGCTGTATTTGATGTTGAGAAATAAAAAATAAAAAGTAGGAAGCGTTGCTTAAGAAAATTACCATCATTCCTAACCAAGAAGAGAGCAAGTATTCGCCTAGGGGAATTGGCGTCACGGATAAAAGGTAGTTCAACATGTTGAAAGGGACAAGAGGGGCAAGCCGAAGCAGCAAGCAGATCTATTCAATCAAAGAATAATCAAAAGTTTTCAAAAACCGTCACCGCGTGGAAGATCAAAACCTGGATAGAATCTGACGATCGTCATGTTCTTAGGGCAAACCTTGAAACCAGAATTCTCAATCGCGAGTGATACTGATTGAAATTGAGGATAATCCTTCAATTTAGAAACAACAAAAGGCTTTCCAATCTGCATATGAATGTGTTATTCAAGCATAGGAAAGTAAGCTCAGAGCACAGCAATATGCAGAAAGATTAAAACCGATGAACTGTAAAACTGGAGAAAGATTATGCTTGAAGACTCTCTACCGTGCAGCCGAGAAGAAAGGCTGCTCCTGAACCGAGCGTAGCACCAACAGAATCTGCGACAAACCCAATTGGCAACCCGAAAAGGTAGCCACCTCCAACCTAAAAGATCACAGTCTTAGCTCCATCAGATTTTTCATTTATAAGATTCCTGTGATTATTACAGAGCATTTTGATTTGGAGTGGCAACGGCATATGGAACAACACACGTTACAAGATCTAGGATCAGAGAGAGACATACCGTAAGAATCGAAGCAGGAACCGCCAGAACAGTGAGAGGAATGTATGCAACAGCCCTATGCGCATTTCAGACAAAGCAAAATCCAGTGTCACGGCAGCTAAACATATTATATTGCACGAGCCGATGAAGAAGCTGCGACCCGACAATGGCAAAAGCATCGAGTAGCTTAAACTCCAGAAACAAGGATGAAACCACTTACAGTGCAATCGGTCCCCAAGGTCCAAGATTTCCTTCAACCCATGCCAAAAATTCCTTCAAAATCTGCAACAGGGAGGATGAAACAGTAAACGACCAGAAATACAAGCTGATAGCACAAATCTTTGCTACACATGAAAGCAGATTTAAGGTAGAGTGATTATCTAGAGATCCATGTATGATTATTAAGCAGGAAATTCAACAGATGCTCCTTTTGCTAACGTTCGAAATTCGACATGGCAAGCTACGAAATCGCCAGAACAAAATGTCTCAAAGGAAATTCTTCCCTCCTATCGTTTAAAACTCAAACTAATCACCCGCCGTTAGCCATTCGTGTCAATGAACACGGCATGCATTGTCTTAACCCGATCGACATCCCACAAGAAAGCATTTCAATTTTGAAAGATCAACTGTAGATGGCAAAAACCCACATCAGAAATTCACATAGGACACCATAATTTCACAAACTATGACGAGAACGAGAACAATCAGGACCTTTTCGACGGGGAGAAAGTAGAAAGCTAAGACAATGGCGGCGAGAAGAATCGGGAGAAGGGAAACCCGGAGGACAGAGCCCCACGTGAACGCCATGAACAGCGGCCTCCGACTCTCTTCCTCGTCCCGGATCAGTCTCAGATAACGGGTGTCTCCGGACGACGAGCAAATTCTGAATCCTTCACTTTCTCTGGACAATCCGAATCTCCAAAGAAGCCGGGACAAAATCTTCGAGTGCAAATGGCCTTTGGCCCCTTGCCTCCTCTGGTCTGAAAACGACAAGTGACACAACTCGATTGGGGGTTTCGTTAGATTGATTCAATTGTCGAACGATTTTGCTAAATCCATCTCTAGCGTGACGTGAGCCAGCGTGACTTCGAACTGTGACCCCGGATGACTTGGGATTGACTCGAATGCAATGAACTCCTTCGCTTCAATTGGGCCTGAAAAACCATCGCTTTTTGGATCAATTTATTACGGGCCTGATTCGGCAAGACTAAAGCCCAATTTAATCTGGGCCTAAGCCCAAATTGGCAGAATCAAGTAACAAGGTAGCTCATTGCCATTGGCCCATTGCCAGTACGGAACATATTAAGCCTTTTGGACAACAACATGGAACGACCTGCACCATCATTACAAGTCCAGATTCATTCCTTTAAACTTTAAAGTTTGACCCCCTAAACGCTAAACGCTAAACGCAGATCGTCAAACGCCAATCAAGGACCTGGGGGTGCTGTTTAACTAACTCCAGGGATCATCCCAACCACAAAGCCCTTCTCGCTTGACAAAGTGGAGAATGGATTGGACAGCTTCGTGAACTCTGTTGGAAAGCGAGTGATTGCCATGTTCTACCTCCACTTTCTCCGCACCTCCCATTGCTCTGCATAATCTGCCATTTCATCATCAGCAACACGAAACATCAGACATTACGATACGGTTTTCTTTCCGAGTTACGGATTGTTACGCTCTCTCAGATTTCTTTTTTTCCCGGGCAAATATTCTCGTTAACATAATGTGAAAATGGTTTTAGAATCTCACCTATCGACCAATGCCTTTTTGTCAACATAGTCTGGTACATATTCATCAGCCATGGAGAAGATCACCTGTGAGAGGAACCAACCAAGAATGGCAGAACAAGCAAATCAAATGCCTAGCATTATACTCTCACTGGAACTACAGATGCTCGCATTGTTGACCCATTTTACCTGGCATGGTGTGTTTGCCATGTGCCCGAGTCTAGTTTTCAACTGGTCATCGCTAAGGTCAGAACTAAACATATCATCATCTCCCATGTACGCACAAAGAGAATGGTACCTGCAGAAGAAAGCAAAGATCAAGACCTAACCAGAAGAGAAAACAGCCTACAAAGAGTTATGCTTTTGTCATATTTGTTTTTGAAAACCCCTACTTTCTGTCTATTTAATCCAAACTCATCAATACATACCGATTTGACCTCACAATCATTTCTAAGCCTACTTAAACCTTTGAACACAATTTTGTGATCCTTCTTGTAGATCCATGCATATGTTTCCTGAATATTCTTCCATCTCAATGCACAACTTCAAAAGTTTTCAGAAGAAAATAGCAATGGAAATCAAGAGCATCCAATGATTTTATGTTTGAAGCTTGAGCAACCAAGTTTGGCACCAACCTATACGCTGTAATTGGGGCAGAAGGTTCTGCTTCTCTAGGCATCAGTTCCTCTGCCCGATCTTCTTTTATCATGTTTGCAGCCAAGTCTATCATAGCAGCCGTTTCAGGAAGAGTTGCCCTGTACTCTCGGTCACTAACAGGTGCCTGAACATTGCAACAGGAAGCGGCACATAAACCCAGTTTACATACAACAGAAAGCCTATGCATGGCTTAGATACGAGCAACATTTAGAAGGTAGCAAAACGATAACCAACAAGAGATTTAGTATTGGTACCTGCAAAATCACAGCTTGGACTGCTCGGGAGCACGCAGCATTTGTATGCATATAATGCACAATGTCCTGTTTCAATGCATACGGAATAGGATTTTTCATAGTAAATCTCCTTTTACTAAATCTATCAAAAGCATCATTCTTTCTAAAACTAAAGTATACTCAGTGGACACCTGACAGCCAGTGCTGTGACCAAGTAGAACAACACCTTCAGAGTTCTCTTTGTTGATTAGATAGCCTATTAGCTGATCGATTTCTTGCGAGTCCTTCAGCAAGGCAGGAAAAATAAAAAATTCGACATTTAACTACCGAACAAGAAGGTGTCTTAGTTTCAAAACTATCAAAGCTATAAGATGAGATAAAAGCACTAAAAAAATGCAGGGTTACGCAATAAAACCAATAATATCTTACTTGTTTCAAGCTGGAAGTGCCATAACCGGAATACGAAGAAGACATAAGTAGTTGAACAAGAGACCACTTTTCCTTGTCCAAAGCAATTGCAAGAGGTTCCAAGTATCTGAAAATGGCAAAATCAGATCTAGAATAAGCAGAAGCCAAGTTATAACTGCTATATCAATTAAAAACCACGAAAGACTTCAATTTGCATGATGATTGGAACTTATTGCAAGAGAAATGAGATCATTTAAAATACAGAAGGAACAACCCGCCAGAAGGGAAGACGAAAACACCCGAGAGACAACGTCTGGTGATACTAAAACACAAAACTTTTGTGAGCAGAGGAGCTATCGACATACTCGGTACCCAGAAATCCATCTGTCAATCCGCCGATAAATATCACTTGCTGTTTATAGTCTCCAGTCTTAAAGGCCACCTGAAATGACATGTAAGACATGCAAGGAACTGTAACTCGTGGAGACTGACCTGAAAACCGACAACCACAAAAATCGCCAAAAACAGCAAGAACGAGAACAAGGGGACACAAATTGTAAGAGAAGCCCGATACTCAGCATGGACAAGAATCATTCTAAATGTTTCCCAAAGACATGACCTTTGATAACCATTAACCACAGCTCCACAAAACCGAAACGAATATCAGTTCTTCCATGGGCAACTTGGAATAAGCGTTGTGCAAAGACCAAACCCCAGATTTCGTGCGGCTATGGAATTTCCATCTAATTACCTAAATATCATTGTTTTCCTCGAGGATCATCCAAGAACAGTGACTATTATCACATTTCACAAGAAGCTTCATGCCATTTCCATAAACATTCTCAGCTAAATGGATCATTGGTTACAAATTGAAGATTCACAATTAGCAAACAAGCTGAAATTGGAACACAATCTTCAGCTCTTGATGTCATAAAACAAAGAGAATGAACAAAAACTTACTTCAACTCCAAAAACAAGCACAGATTCAATTAACCGGATTAATATTTATATATATATCGCAATTCGAAATAGAAAAAATCTATCTTGCTTCAAAGTTACTCAAAGGCAGCGAATAATCGATCGAAGCGACCTGAATGGGTTTCGGCCCGTATTTAAACAGAACACCGCGAAATTGGTTCTTCCCCTTGATGGGTCCACCGTAATCACCGCTTCCGCCGCCGGAGAGGACGGAAGAGCTCTTGGACAGGTTCGTGCCGCCAGATTTATCGCCACGACCGCGAACGATGCCGGAGAACCAAGACTTCGTCGACGATGCCGCGGAAGAAGATGTAACAGCTGCCGGAGACGCCGATGACGACGACGCCGCCGCAGCCGAAGACGAGGACAGAGAGAGAGACATGGGTTCCGATTTCACCTGAACTTAGCAGTGGATCATCCACGTAGTCGCTACGTAGGAGAGATCTGCGACTGTTGCAGTTTCAGATTTGCTGGGGGAGAAAGGAGGAAACGCAGGAGGCGGAGACCACGCGCCGTCAACAAGCGTGGCGGAGCTGGCAAAGATATCGGAATTTTGCTTTCGTCGCAATTTTTAAATTCGATAATTATCGAACAATGCAAAAAAAAAAAAAAAAGCCTTATTATAATTAAAAAAAACATAATGAAATCAAATACGATATATAATATATCCATAGAAAAAACGAATGTGATACAAATATTTCGGAATGGATAGACAAGTTTTATTTTTTTGTTATTAAATCAACTAGCTCATACTGATTTTTAAAATATATAGCATATATGTTTTCCATGAATTTTAATTTTATAACTACGAAAATCCAGAAAAAAATACATTTTTTTATTTTCAAAATGAAATTATCAAAACCCGAAAACTAAAACTAAAATCCCAAAATGATATGTTACATTGTAAATCGAAATCAGATATTAGATGGTATTTTCTAAAAACATCAAATTTATAGTGTGGGCCCAATGAATAAAACGATATTTGAAGACATTTTCTTTGGGCCCAACTTAAGCCCATCATTTGCTTTGATGTGTACTGTAAATTTGTAAGATAGTGAAATCTAACTCTAAGGCGAGAAACACCAAACACAAAAAAAAAAAAAAAAAAAAAAGTCGACAGTTGCTTGAAAAAACTTAATTAATAGTTATATACTTAAATATATCAATCAATAATTTTATGAATTATAAAAATGTGTAGATTTATAATCATCTATCAAACAAGCAACACTTTAAGAGCATGATTGGTTGTATTAAATCAAGTGATTATATATATTATTTAATATAACTCTAGCTACAAATATTTATATCATGTATTTAAAATTTCAAACAGATATTATAGATGAATCTAATATTGTTATATTGCTATAGCTAATAATATATTTACCAAATTGCAAAATGGGATGCGCAATATGATTATGATTTATGAACCACTTGTTTCCATATTTCAATACTTTATAATCACTTTTAAATTGTTGTGCAACATATAAAGCCAATTCGATCCGACAAAATAAAATGTCGGACTCAAGAATTCATTATGGCTATGAAAATATTATCCGCTGAACATAGTATATATTTTTATTCACTTCTAACAATTAATATATTTATCTGCTAGTGGACAATCGATTTTTCGGTATTAAATAATTTGAATGAACACATATAGCGATGAACGAATTCACATATTCTTGGATAAATATGTAACCTTATGATTATTCTTGAAAATGTCACTACACCAAGTATGATTATAATTAGTTCATCATATTCTTTTACGTATGAAATGTTAACGGATTTAAAATTTTACTTGAGTATTTTATTTAGTAATTCAAATAAAAATTACTAGAAACGATTTTTAAAACTAAATTAATTAAATTCGGATCGAATATGAAAGTAATAAAAAAACGAAAACAAAAATTTAACAAAAATAGAAATATGTTTTTAGTGAAAACCATATTCCAATAGATGTCCAACAAAAAATCAAACCAAATTCGAATAAAAATTTAAATCGATATAAATATCGAGTGGAACTAATTTTTAAATAGTTGAAGATATATAAATAAGAAAACAAATCACAATTTCTTGTGTATGAAATCAAAGGGGATACTAAATTAGCATTTTAGAAAGGGAGATTTAAAAAAAAAGGGGGGGGTACGAAGAGACTAATCATATAGTTTATATTCCGAAATGAAATGAAATGAATTAAATATGGACCGGTGTTTGTTTAGTTATGTATGGGTGGAGTCCAAAGGCATAAACGTGTGTCCATTTTCAATGTCGACCATCGAACATTCAATCAAATCCAAAGTAACGTGTGAGAAATGATTCTCGAGAGGAAGATTGTTACCAATCATTTGCAAAATAACTGCTTCACTCTCTTTATTCCCCAAAATAATATCCTCTTGGTTTTTTTAAATTACCTAACTATTTATTTTTGTTTGAAAAAAAACCCTAAAAATTCCTCAACTTGTAATTTGGAGTAATATTAATTCTTAAACTTGTAGAGGTGCCTATTAAATTTTAAACTTGCAAAATCGAACACGTTAAATCATAAACTTGTTAAACGGTTCCATAATCGTCCACAACACTATTTGGTCAAAAAAAAAAGTTGACCGATCTGACGGGATGCGTGACGTGATGAGCCAACTCAGAAACTTACCGCCACGTCACGCGCCACGTCAGATCGGTCAACTCGTTTTTTTGACCAAATAGTGTTATGGACGATTATGGAACCGTTTAACAAGTTTAGGATTTAATGTGTTCAATTTTGCAAGTTTGGGAATTAATAGGCACCTCTACAAGTTTAGAAATTAATATTACTCTAAATTACAAGTTTAGAAATTTTTAGGGTTTTTTCTCTTTTTGTTTTGGTTTGTTTGAAATATAGGAAAGCAACAAAAATAGCCGGACAAAAAAAAAATTTCCATTTCTTATGTTTTTTTTTCTCTAAATGATGAAGAAATATCTATAGATTAATGGATTAGAACAAAAGAAAACATGTATAGAATGAAAGATTAGTAGAAAATGGTATGATAAAAAAACAGCACAATAGTGTAAATATGAAAGATTTAAATTAGGTATATGAAATAGAATAATACGATAAAATTATATAATAATGTAGTAGTACAAATCGTTGTTTTAATTTTTGAATATACTAAATAATAAATAAATATAAAAAATAAGTATAAAATTAAAATAATATAAAATATTTTATTTAGATAATAATAAGAAAATAACGAAACATTTTATGTTGAAGAAAAAACATTTAAAGATTAATAGATTAGAACGAAAGATTAGTAAGAAATGGTATAATAGAAAAGCAGCACAATAGTGTAAATATGAAATATTTAAATTGAGTATATGAAACAGAATAACAAGATAATAATGAAATAATACAACTTGTTAATTCAATTTTTTTAAAATAATAATATAAAATCAAAATAAAATAAAAATATTTATATAAAGAATAATAAGAAAATAACGAAACTTTTTATAGGAAAAAAAGATTGTTAGTGTAGAGGCACTAAAATACGTGATCCAAATCAATAAAATTAGAATGATGAAAAACTTGATGTAGAAACTAAATCAATTAATAGCAATTGTGTCATGTTCCTCGAATAAAAACACAAATTTATTTTGCGGAAATAAAATAATACGAAATATTTACGAATAAAATTATTAATTTTGGAAATCAAAAGTTTTGTTTGCAACTTTTTCATTTGAACTATTATAATACACTTATCATATATATGTATATTCACATATATCCAAACGGGTAAGCGACAGTAACAAATTATCTATTAAATACTATGTGTCGATCATATTTAATTGACAAAAAAAGATGATTATATAACTTAAACTATAATATTAGAATTTTATAAATTTAAAAATAGATGTAATTAAATGAAAAATAACTGCAAAAATCATGTTTTAGAATACATATACATATATATATATATATATAATATGTATATATGCTGTGTGCATATGCTAGAATCACGTTTTCGTAACATGTAAGTATGTTATATCATTCCTATAAATAAAGGCATAACTATACAACTCCATATATTTGTTATGCAATAAGTATTTATTACAGGGTTTAATAGCCAACATTAAAATGGGTATTTTATTAATTCAAGATATTTTTTTAAAAAAAATTTGTTGTTGTGTTTTCGTCACTGAAAACATTGATGTTCTTATTTGCTTGTTTGTTTGTTTGTTTGTACATTTATTCCGTGGCTTGTATTGCCATTCAATGGATTCCAAAAATATGTTATAAATATGAGAAACCCCTATCTCCACTTTGGATGATAAGATTGTTAATTAAAAGGGCTCCCTATTTTTAAAATATTTCATTTCGTTTTCTTCCTTTCAAGTTTTGAAATATGGTCATGACATTAAAATAAAATCGAATCAATTATACTTTTTTTTAGGTTATTGTAAGTTTGCACAATTGGACCCTACCACCAAAAAATAATAATTTACATTTAAGAGAATAAAAGCTATCAATGTCAAGACTAATTTCTGATTTCTCCCTGTACGGACGCCTTTTCAATCTTTCATAAACTTCACTTATTAATTACGTGTGTTATCGTGATTCCATTTGTTTGTTTAATATGTCAAAGGTCATTCAGAGAAATTACACAAAATTCTCGCCTGAATTTTGGTTATTATATGAAAGGGGCATATTTAATTTCTTTAATATATATTTATAATGTCTCGTGTAATAAAAACAAGACTATTGGCTTTAGGAATCGAACAATTTTATTATATTTTTTATTTAAGAAAAAGCAAATTCCTTCTGCCCGTAGCTTTGTTGAAAACAAAAGATCCACTGAAAATTGTTGGCAATATGTGATTGCCACTTTTACACAATTGATGATTAAACATGAATGACCCATGTATATTATATAGTATTTTTTATATTAAAATAAAGGCATAATAGCTATTATGGCCCCAACGTATATTTATTTTATATTCGACGGAGGAATACCTTTTTTCATTAACCACTTCTCCTCCCTTAAGTTGACTATGTACCTATTTTTCTACATTTTTTGTTAATTTTTTTACAAAAAATATTTTTCTACTTTACAAAACACATTATAAAACATATTTATACAATACCATATCATTTTTCTTACAACTCACACATTCACGTGTATATATATTGGATAATTCAACTGGTGAAACGGAGACGCAAAACATATATTCCGTCCTGAGTTCGAACCTCAAATTGGAGAGAAAATCACATATTCTAATCGCATGACTTATTTTGATCCCAAAATTAATATAGATCTCGATCCAAAATATCCGGTTATCAATATATATATATATATATATATACACACACGCATATTATAATTTTTCTTAACATTTCACAAGTTTGTCTTTGTTGAGTTCTATATAATAAATCCCGTATTTCAAGTACATAATGTATACTTATATTCTTGTGTGGTTGGCTTTCATTTATTTTCTTAATTGCATTGTGGGTTTGGAATTATAAATTCAAGGTCTAACAGTGCAAACTAACAAATACCATAAACAACAAGGCATAGACAAATGAGGCGTGTAATAAAATAATAAAGTCAAATAAAAATAAAATGGTTTCTATATTTGAAATATGGGCTATATATATATATATATATAATTTTTGTGTAGTGTTTATATGTGGAGGTCCACGTGAGTTTTTTTTTTTTTTTTGTCTCTGGTCCATTCAAAAAACAATTCATGATAATTAAATAAATGAAACTCATTGAGGTCAGCGGCCGATCAAACAGCCTCCAGTCCTTGGACCTAACCTCACATTAGGATTTGGCTGGTCTTTTAGACAATACTGATGTTTAATATAATGCGTCCTAAGCAAATTTGTTTATATCTGTTGCAAAAAAATAAAAATACAAATTGTTTATTAGAACCTAACAATATAACCTAAGCTTTCCATTATAATATCACCATTCATAAAATTATGTCGCAGTCAGTCCACGAATAATTTTTCAGGACAAAACGATGTTTATGCATCATGAGCTTTGTGATGAAGGCTAAAATATCATAAATTAGTTTATCTGGTATGTTATTGGTCTAGTCTATGATAAATTTAAAAATTCTATGTATGTACAATATTAGAATAATTCGGATTTATCTATTGTAAAACAATCGCAATAATAAGATAAAAAAAAAATGTACGTGTTATAAATATATAACTAATTACAGACAGTGTCAGGATTATACATGTGTCATGGAGGCTTATGTATGTAGTTATAATATATTATTTTTAAAATAAAATAAATGCCTGTCACATCGGTATTCCCATGGCACTATAAATTCGAAGCTCGATGCCTTTCATCTCCATGCTTGTGGAGAGTGATATATATACATATTTTCATTTAGCATATATATATATACGTATATATCTCTCTATATATATGCACGCATGTACGTATCACCCCTTCACCTTAATTAAGCAAATTAACCCACCTGAGTTAGAATCTTGTATTGTCCTCTAAATCGCTCTTGTAGTGTTTTTTTTTTCAATTTACAGTCAGAGTTTACATAATTAATATCAATCCCCATATATAATTAAACAAATTGCAAGGGAAGAGACAGTGCCCCGGGAAACAAGCCACTTCACGTTTCGCTTAAAGGTTAGTAATTTACGCGACCGGTCTCTGTGTTCTTTTGGATTATACGAACGAATCTATTGCATGTTATGTGTTCAATTAGATCTGTCTTAAATATAATTATAATTGAAATGGTTAATCAATCCATTCTCAGGGAAGTTATAAAACGATGAAGCCATGCATGTCGGCATTGAAACAAATCCAACCGTTGTTGAGCTTCCAAGGACCCGCCGGGATCACGATGGTCGACGTTCCTTTTTTCCGGCGAAAGGACAGGGTGGTCTTCGTCATGGGCGCCACCGGCACCGGAAAATCTCGCCTCGCCATCGACCTCGCCACCCGTTTTCCGGCGGAGATCGTAAATTCCGACAAGATCCAAGTCTACAAGGGCCTTGACGTCGTCACCAACAAGGTCACACCGGAGGAAAGCCGCGGCGTCCCCCACCATCTCCTCGGCACCGTCGATCCAGACGCCGACTTCACGGCGGCAGACTTCGCGCGTGAGGCCACGCGTGCGGTTCAGTCCATCGTCGAGCGGGACCGAGTCCCCATCATCGCAGGAGGGTCAAACTCGTACATCGACGCCTTGGTCAACGACTGCGTTGACTTTAGGCTCAGGTACCAATGTTGCTTCTTGTGGGTCGATGTCTCGAGACCGGTTCTGCACTCCTTTGTCTCCGAGCGTGTCGACAAGATGGTCGAGATAGGTCTTGTTGACGAGGTTCGCCGGATCTTTGACCCCTCGGCGGATTACTCCGTCGGAATCCGCCGCGCCATCGGAGTACCGGAGCTCGACGAGTTTCTCCTGTCGGAGTTACAAGAATCTACCGACGAAAACAGAGCAAGACTGCTGGAGACAGCGATTGGGAAGATCAAAGAGAACACGTGTTCGTTGGCATGTCGGCAGGTGCAGAAGATCCAGAGGCTCTACAAGCAGTGGAAATGGAACATGCACAGGATCGACGCGACGGAGGTGGTTCTCCGGCGAGGAGAAGAAGCCGACGAGGCTTGGGAGACCATCGTGGCTCGGCCGAGTTCCCTCATCGTGGAACAGTTCCTCAGATACAGCGAAGAACGTCGCCGTTTGGACAGCACCGAGATTCTCTTGCCGGAGATAGCGGCGATGCCGCCACTCCCCGCCGTTGCAGCCGTTTCCCGGTGAAACAAACAGAACAGAAACAGAGTATAGCTTCAGAGCCGCCATTATAAACTACAGTATAAGCGATTAAGCTAGAAAGATACACAGAGGACGAAGGCAAAAGACACGGATACGCCACGTGGCGAAATGGGTCGCTGTCGGGGAAAAAAATGCATGATCTACTTACTATAGTGTGTTAATAGTTTACTATACGACACGAACTAGTTTCTAAAGGAGAGTGAAATCACGCGCGGAGGACGCAGCCAAGTTTTCTGCGGTGGCTAGGCTGTGGTGCGAACGAATGCACGTTAACACGGTGGGGATAGGAATCTCCACCGTTTGGTTTTGGTCCACGCGGTTTTCCCAACGGTGAATAGTGGACCCCACTTTTGACGGCGGTTGTCGAGATGTGTGTGGGTCCCGTTTTGTGACATATATATCATGATTGGGTAATAATTGAAATCAACGGCTTGTGATGTGATTAATATTTCTTAATAAACTCATCAGTATTTTTTTATGTATTAGAAAAATAAAAAGACACCAAAACTTTCAATTTGGTGTATTTAAAAAAAAAGAGCTTGGTGTTGTTTGTCTATCAATGCCACCCAAATGCACATCTGTTTGTATTTTTTAAGTGGACATAGCCTCAAAATTACGAATAAAGAAATTTATATATTATTATAATTTGTTGTATATGTATGGATGGGCTAGCTTTGGTTAATTACTATATATTAATGGAGTGTTATTATATATAAATTTACATTTTAATTATAATAATTAAAGCGTAGGAGGGTGTATATGGGGCCAACTCAAAAGCCGTTGTCTAGGAAGACAACGTGAACATGATTCCTCCTCCTCATATAAACAAATTAGGGTTTTTTCCCCTTGATTGATGCCCACTACCCACCGCCAAACCTACACTTCCCTCTTCCTTCTTTAAACCCTAATTATATCCTGTTTTATATTCTAGTCACCTTAATTTAATTTTAATTTTATCTTTCCTAATATATGTATGCATATATATATATATATATGTGTGTGTGTGTATAATATATACGTATAGTATTTTGTTTATTTTCTTTAAAGATTAGAAGAATGTTAGCTAGGGCTTAAAATTGTAACTTCAATTTTTTTTTTTTAAAAAAAAAGAAGAGGGAGAAATTAATGGCACTGAATTTCATTAGTCCAACGTAAAAATTCTTTAGAATCTTGTGGTATGGGCCATATACTGTTTATTCTATGTCTTTATTCGGACTTCTAGGTAGATTAGTACGCATTCGTTAAGAATATCATGTTTAATTTAAGTTCGTAGCCGTACCCAGAGGCGGATCCATAATATATTTTTAACACATGCATAAAAAAATGTGAAAAAACATAAGATTTTAATCTCAAATTTTACTTATTTATACTCATCAATCATACTTTCGCATATCCATGCGTACAAAACCCTATTTTAAAGTTAACAATGGGCATGACCCGAACCACAATCCATTATATAGATATATATATATATATATATATATATATATATATATATATATATATCTCTCACGCATGTGTATATAAAAAAAACAAATCCACATCCGTACCCTCTCCATAGGTTCGAATCCTAAGAGTGGAAAAAGAAAATGGGACTTAAAGATGGCATGTTTGGTGATGATTAACTCAAGTGAAACGCTCTAATGATTATAATAGCTATGATTAATAAAGCAATAAGTGAGATTTGTTGGAAGCATCCATCAACCGAGCTCATTTTTTTCTCCAAAAAAAAAATTAGAAGATAGAATTGTAAAAGACAGCAACAGCGAATTAACATATAATCAACGTCCGATATTTAATTTGTGTTATTTAACATTATATTTTTGGACCATAATAATTAAATTATTTAGTGAAAAGTTCAAGAATGTGCTTACTTAGCGGGATCTTCTTTCAGTTTCCAATGAAAGTAAAGAGGCCGATGGGCCGCAGGCCCAAATACCCACCCATGAAGTTATATCCATTTAAATGTACAAAACTTGTACTGTACATAAATACACATATATATATATATATATATATATATATATATATCTCTCACGCATGTGTATCTAAAAAAAACAAATCCTCATCCGTACCACAAAATGTAAAAATCATGTCCTAAAAATTATTCCAATTGGGCAAATTAAGTTGATTTAGACTTTGGTACGCTCAATTATTAATGTTGGGCAAACACGTTAGATGCATTCGACCCACAGCTCACGAATCTCTGTGTTAGGGTAACGTATACGGTGTTTTTAAAAATTTAACAAAAGAGGCCAATTGCTTGCAAATGCCCCTAATATTTAAATATTTTTTTAATATCTGTGAATTATTACGTATAAGCCATCTTATCATTTGATTTGACCGTCTCGTTATCAGATTGATGGTCTGAAAATGTATTTTTTTTCCTTCATGAGTGCATTTTTATTGATTTTTTCGGGTTGCTGAGAAAATACGTTCGGCATTCTTAATATATCTTAATTTCTTAATATTGATTAACTTATCTATTTCAATCCTACACAAAGTATATGTTTTATTTTGTCCCCCAGATAATAAAAAAATTTCAAATAGAAAATCTCTAATTATACATTATATATATATATATATATTTTATTTGTTTCTATTTTTCTGTACTACATAAATGTTCAAATAGAAACAAAATATGGATATTTGGTATGAATGATAATAATTAAATGCACAATATCAATTAATAATAAAATATATATTGTGTCAATTATATTTTGTCTTATTTGTTTATCTCGTATCTTTATTTTCTTGTATCTTTTAATAATTTTTTCTATAAATGTATGAATTATTTTCATTGTAATATAACAATAAGAAAAATAGATATAGTGATAAAAATGTTTTCGTTCTTTTCTCATTTGTTCTTTCTTTCTAATTTAATTTTCGTATTTTATTTTTCAATATGGTATTAGAGTAGTGTTGCGATCTCGACTATATGTTTTTTTTTTAATTTTATAATATTTTCTTTCTTTTGCGTTTTGGATGTTCATATATCCAAATCTTTCAAAGTGGAGTAAGAAAACCAGATTCAAACAATGTGATGTGACAAAAAGAAGTCAAAACTAAAAATTCTAAGATCAATCAAGATGCTATAACAAAAAGAAATAAAGTTAGCACTTTAAAGTCGTAAAGTGATTTGAGAAAGATTAATATATATTCTCTAAATGAATACAATTTGGTGACTATGGATTTTTCTAATAATAGTGAAGTTTTTCATCATTTTATTTTATCTTTAAGATTGATTTTTGAATTATTTCAAAATCAATATTGAGAGAGAATGTTGAAATAGAAACAAAATATGAAGATTTGATATGGCTGATAATAATTAAAGGCATAATATCAATTAATAATAAAATATATATTGTATCAATTATATTTTGCTTTATTTATTTCTCTCATGTCCTTATTTACTTGTTTCTTTTAATAACTTTTCCTATAAATTTATAAATTATTTTTATTATAATGTAACAATAATAAGAAGAGATATAACAATAAAAGTGTTTTCGTTCTTTTATCATTTGTTCTTTCTTTCTAATTTAATTTTTACATTTTATTTTTCAATAATAAGTAGGATCTTTCCTATAAAACATTATGTTTAACTTACAAATTAATAAATTAATATTGTTGAACAATTGTTATGATATTAAATTGATATGTAAACATATTTAAATTTCAGTTGAAAAACAGATAAATTAATAATTTTTTTTTAGATATTTCGGGATATATTTATAAAACAAAAACTGTAGATGAATTTGTAGATAATTGGATTTTAATTGGATGTTTTAAAAAAAGTTAAATATTTTTTTTTAATTAAATGAGTACGAACATTTGTATTTGTACTGTTGGTTTAGTAATATTATGTATTTTACTTTTAAAAATAAATATTTGTACTGTTTTTTTCGTAATATTATATTAAGCATAGATGCAATGCATTGGCTCCATGCATGCCTCGTTATTTAATTGAAATTTGAAATATATTACAAGGAAAATTACGGGTATTGTTTGTTGCTAGTGGTTAATTTTTAATCTTATCGACTATTAGTGGAAGCATTATGGTTAAAATGTTTATATATATATACACACACCACTTATTCAAATTAAGTACAATTCAGTAGATGCCATGACTACAATGTTTTAATATCGAAATGAAAATATGGCCGCCAATATCTTGTTCATCTAATAATCGTAATTGATTAGAAAAGTTTGTAAATCACAATATTGGACTTACATAAGATTAAGCACATTAATCAACGTTTCATTGTAGTCATAATTATTTATTTTCGTTTCAACGTAAACAGTGTAGAATAAATTTGAAAGAATATATATTATGGTTTTTAAGAAAAAAAAAAAGATGTTACATTCTCTTTTTCAAAATTTTTCTAAATATTCTTTCTTTAGGTATGCGAGATAAGAGATTCCAATTCCAATGGTGAATTCTTTTCTTCAAAACCCCTTTTGATTTTATATTGGTGATTTAATTGTATTATATTATTTTGATTTATTCTATCCAAAAATAGAATGAGAATCGGTTGAATTTTTGACAGACTCTTATATTTTTATGTATTGTCGGTTAAATAAAGTGTATCGTATGGATATAGTGTTATTCCCTGTGACCCTAAGAAACAAACGGTTGATTCTCTATAAAAAAAATGTAATTATTATTTAAATATTTGTAATTCTATTAAAGTTTAGAATGTGATGATACTTATTGCGTAAAGATGAATTTCTGAAACTCATTTATGCTCGCGAAAAATTTTTTTTTGTAAGGTCCGTAGGAAAACAGTGACACTGAAAGCTCGAAATTTATATCAGCCATATGAAATGTATACAATATTTTTTTTTTAAAATCTCATATTTACTTTTAAGCTACATGGTTAACAGTTTACAAAAAAAAAATGAAATTATAGAATACGGAAAAAATGCATTAGTAGAGCTTGAAATTCCATCGTCGTCATCATAATCACAAAGCCCATAAAGGGCCCATTACGTGGCATGACCCAAACAATGTTAGGCCCAATGTAAACGACCAGGGACACTTTAGGATTAGAAATTTCCGGTGGAGTTCCGGTAGGGGCACTTTGGTCATTTCATGCTTCCCGGCGTGCTTATTCTGTGTACATATACATTACGTATAGTGTATATCCATGTTATGTTATGTTGGTTTATATATGCATATATATTATACAGTGGCGGACCTATGTAGTATTTAGTCACGTGTCCCCGTATAATTAGTAAAAAAAAAAGTTAATTTCTTCATAAATTTTATACAACTATAAAATAATATTGATAAATACCCCCCAATAAGATTATACTTATTCATATGAAATTATACATATGTTATTATTATCCCACATAAAAATAGTTTTGGATCCGCCACCACTGCATATATATATATATATATATATTGTATTATTGTAAATTATAGAGAACCTATGTAGTAATAAAATTTTTATATATTAATATGTCTGTTTAACATTTTTTATTAGCCCGTGGTACGCGTGACGGTGATGAAAACTAATGGTCAAGTGAACCATTATTCCTCGAGATATGAGACACGAAAAGTTTATCCCTGATTAATTGATTGTTTAATCCTATATTTAATTTATTCATCTCTTAATTAAGCCATTGATCGTTATTATTAGTAGGCTAATTGGTATCATGTTATATGATTGATGATTGATCTGCTTATATTGACAATTTTTGGTTTGCATTTGGGATTAAGGATAAGAAAATTCAACTCTTCTCATCCTCCTCCGATTTTTCATACACTATCAAATAAATATATATGCCGAATTTTAATTGTTTTTTTTTTTATAACGGGTGAGAATCTTATCTTTTTAGAAGTTACATTTAATTGTAATTAATACGGATTTGTATGAAGTATGTAAAGACACAGATTACGTGCATTACATGTTATCTTGTTTTTTTTTGTAAGAAAATCCCGGTTTACTGTTTTTTCATTTTCCCTAAATATGATTAGTTACCAAACCTATACATACACAAAGGAGTATATGTAAAGGAGGAGGCATTTCGCTCCTCCACCGTCCTTCTCCTCTAACATGCTCCATCTCCTCCTCCACCGCCGCCGCCGCAACCAGCATGCCCACCGCGAGATCCGCCGTTAACCACCACAATAATCACCATCACCACCGTCACAACCATCATAGCTCCTCCTCCCTCCTCCTCTGCAAGCACTCTCCCTCTGCGACCCTCGACCTCCTCATCCTCGTCCTCGTCCTCTTCTCCGGCGCTTTCCTCCTCTCCTCATACTTCTCCTACCTCTTCCACTCCTTCTCTCTCCTCTCCTCTCATTTCCCTTCCCTCTCTCTCTCCTCCCTCGCCCCCTTGATCTTCTCCGATCACGACAACGACGACGATCCCGCAGGAATCTCACCGGCTTCGTACTTATTCGCCTTTGCCGTGTTCTTCGCGGCATCGATTGCGTTCGTTGATCTCTGCTGCGGGCCCAGATCGAGGAAATGCCAGAACCCTAAGTGCAAGGGGTTGAAGAAGGCGATGGAGTTCGATTTGCAGCTCCAGACGGAGGAATGCGTCAAATCGGGAGCGGCCAAGGAGATTGATCGGTTGCCTTGGAAAGGAGGCAACGAAAACAATCCCGATTACGAGTGTTTGAGAGCTGAGCTGCGGAAGATGGCTCCTCCCAACGGCCGTGCCATCTTGCTTTTCCGGTCCCGGTGCGGTTGTCCCGTCGCCAAGCTCGAGGGCTGGGGACCTAAGCGAGGCCGACGTCATAAAAAGTAAGTCAACCCTTCTCTTGAATACGAATTGGTGGCTCAAATCTCTCGCCTTTTGATTCTTCTGAATTGGAAATGTATGGAGGGTCTATGAACTTAGCTTCATCAGTTTATTTTGTTTGTTTGTCTGTCTTGGTATAATGTGAGCTTTGATTTGTGAATTTGGTTGATTCTTGTTATCGGATTCCAGGCCATCTTTTGGCTCCCTCTGTTTGCTGGATTGTTCAATCTTCTGCATTTGTGTAATTCCCACTGGTTTTCGGCTGTGGAATTTAGTTGTGGTGCAACTGAGTGATTTCAATTAGTTCTAGCACGTTTGTAAGCCAGAGGATCGCCTCTAAGTCGTATTCTGCTTCTTCTCTTGCGGAAGGTTAGCGTAAGTTGGTTGAATGGTCAAGTATTGTCGCTGATGGATGAGTGGTTGCGTGGCTATTCTCCTCATGGCTGTGCTTGATCTGATGTCCTGCGGATTTCTCTCTCCGGAAAATAAAGGGAAACAAATGTGCCAGCACACCATTTCATTAGTTCAAAACCTGTGCAGCCATAATCATGGCACAAATGCATCAGATAGCAATTGTTATGGCATTTTTTTAGTATACTGGTTGTGTTTTGGATTAGGAGCCTTTTGCTCCATTTCACTTTCCAGCTGTTTGCGAAGTTCATCATCTCTGCTTCTGATGAAGCTTGTGCTGTGGCTCAACAGATATTGAGAATTGGGGTATGAAGTATTGGTGGATCATGTGGGAGATAGATTAGGACTTTTTTGGAGAAGGATTAATAGTTATGGTTTCTCTGCTTAATGAGGATAACCTGGTTAGAAATCAGGTTCATTTTGGAGACTTAAGCTGTGTATAATCCATTACAGATAATTCACTTTGGACACATCTCCGGTTGTTTGGAATGAGAAAGACACGATTATAGTAAGCCTCAAAAGGCGAGGAATAGCTTCTGCCTTGTTGATCGCCATTCATCGAAAAGCCTTGTTTTCACTGTTGACAGTGACTTTTCGAGGCTTTCAGTGCATAGTTTGCATTTCCCCCTTTTGTGCTTCCGGATATATTGTGGCTTGGAATTGATAAAGTTATGGAATTCCACTCTGTTCTTTTGGGATTAGGATTAAAAGGATCTCATTTTCGAGTATTTGTGGCGTTTATTTATGGTTCACTAGATACCAAGCCCCAGGTATTGCATTTTGTATTGTAAAACCTCTCTACTAATGTCACTGGTCGATCTCTCTGTTCTTTGCTGCATTCTCCAGTAACATTGGCATAGATTTTGGTTGTCTTTTGCATTCTGATTCAGTTTCTGTCATATCCTTTGCACAGATCTTCTGGGAACTTGGCTCTGAAAGGAGGTGACAATCGCTGATGATCCCGGGACAAACTACGAGAGCTACACTTCAGTCAGTTATTTCGACGCCCTTCCCCCTTTTTGTTTTTCCCGGGATACATTCATCAAGGTTGCAGAGTTCATCCTGGAACTGGAAAACCTGTAAGCATCGTTTCCTTCTTTCTTTTCACTTTCTCTCTCAGATACGCTCCATGTTCACTTACACCCTGAACACTTCCTCTCTGTGGAACTATATATATATATATATATACCAAGAAAAATCTGAATGCAAATAATTAATTATATTTTTCATAGCTTAATATATTAGCCAAAAAAAAGAAAAAAAAGAGGCTTCACTGTCATAATAAGATAGAGCCTTGTCTATGTAAAGAACCAGAGTCACCAGACAACAGAAGTAAGAAAAGGTCTTTGGTTCTACTTCGGCAGCTTCGGCCTAATTTGCAGTTACCCATCCCATTGGGTCCTATTTCTTCAATTAATTATTATTATATGAAGTTAATTTGGCTCCTACAAATATGCAAACTTTCCAAGTGTTTGGCTTTTATTTTGTAAGCAACGACATGGATTCATATTCTTAGAAAAGGTTTGGCTTTCCTTTTTTTTTTTATATAGTTTATAAAAAAAAATTGACTTTTTATTCATAAGCAATATAGATTTGCATGTACATATTCAACTTTGTAGGTTTTGTTTCGGTATAAAGCATCATTACTTCATCGTTTGCCAAAATTTGAGGGGTAAAGTGGACTTTTCCACATGGTTCACGTAAGAGAACAAGCAGATTGATCATCCGCCCATTCCAAGGAACCCGACAAGGGTTTCTCTCTCTCGATCTCTGATTTTCGGCTCTTAAGAGACGGAACCTCGGCTACGGGACGGCGGGTCTCGATCAGTGAAGTTGGTCGCAAAAGGGCAGAGCTCCGTTGTGTTCTGTTCCCTGGATTTTTGGAACCAAGGGGATTCCGAAAAGCTCCGGGGTCTTGATTCCGGCGTTGATCTGTTTGCTCATATCGATAAGCCGCAGAATAATTCAGCCCAAGTGCGAGGAATGATTGACAAGGGAGGATTCGAAAGGTGAAGAAGGGTATTAAATGCATCGTCTTTCAAGTTTCCTATGGTCATCATATGATCATGTCATATACCAAAAAAAAAAACATCATTTACTACTACGAATGCTTACAAAGTTACACTTTCACAAAGACAAAATGCACAAATCTCCTTCTGTCCTATTTTATAATCTTCTAGCGGTCACCATTCTCAGGTGCCTGCAGAGAAATTAAAGAAAGAGCACAGCTTTCCGGTGAACGAATCGTCAAATCAATGTAAACGCTGCTTCACACGTCGTCCGTTGGAGTCGCAGCCGTCGGCCAACGCCACCACCTCCTTCCGATGCCCAGATGAGGCCGCTGTTATGGAATGCTCCCCCAGCCTCGCCACGTACTCCAGCAGCTCCGTTAGTACACTCGGGCAGCTTTCGTTCAGATACTCAAACCCCTCTGTTTGCATCACGGCTGAAAACACACACACAAGGAAAACTCATTCAACTTTCCCACTACACTACTACCGCTACTGCAAAAAGTAGAAGAGAAAGGTCTAACCTTTTAGGTTTTCCGGAAAGGCGATGAATTTGAGGCAGACTGCTTTCAGCTGGAAACAATGATGCTGCTCGGCCAGGGCCAATGTCGTCGCGACAGTGTTTATGGAGATCCCTTCACAGAGTTTCGACTCGCAGATTGCTCTGAGCCGCTCCAGAGCATAACGGTCCGCAGCTGCAAGCAGGTGCTGAGCCACTAGTGTAGATGCCCATTTTGATTCTGTGCCCATTAGCTCTTGCATGTCCGGCAATTCATCCCAGTAGATAAAATGGAGCAACACCTGCACAATGAACCACAAGAAAAAATCGTTTTAACATATTTTGTATCTTCTACACCGGCGACCTCGTATATAGCCAGAATTCACTCTCTGCCACTAATGGAAACAGCAACCCAAGTAAACAACTTGTGCTTTGCACCACTGGAACATAAGAGCAAAGTATGCCAAGGGATTCATTTAAAACACTAAAACCACAATCCCAATCTCTCCAAGATAAGATGCCGAAGAATCTTTGACATATAGATGCTTCTAATATAACAATTAGATGAAAAGAAACTTAAAGAAAACAGCCACCTAAGGGAAGCTACATCCATGTGTTTTACTAAACACTATAGTGAAACGGCTAACAGGAAAGACTGTGTAGACTCAATCGCAGCTAATGCTCAAACAGCTTCCAGATCATCTGACCAAACACACATACATGCAATCAGGAAGAGAAGCAGAAAGATAGAACCTTATCCCGGGAGAGAGTAAAATTTGTGAACAGGAACAGCGCCCCAGGAGGTGATCCCGGAATGAACATTCGTGAATAGAAGAATATCCTGTATGACACCACAATCACTTACCCAAGAGAGAGGCAAGGAACCAACAAAGCTATCTATTCCTAGAAGACCTCACAAGACCCATAACTATTATTAACACAGCCTGATATGAAAAAAAGGCCACAAACTTTATACTTAAGCATTCCAGGGGCAATCAGATTTTATCCTAGAGAGAAAACCATAGAAAGAGAATTAAAGAGATAACCTTGAAAATGGGGGCTTCCATGTCTTCTATTCTTATGCATTGTGTATTTCGATCCTTCAATGGACCAAAGAGCTGTGCCCTAAAAACAGGGGAGCGAGCTGCAAGAACCACCTTGTGAGCAGAAAATGCTTCTCCATCAACTTCAAATGTTACATCTGCCCCCTTCCCACTTTCCAAGAGCTTGCCAAAGTGCTGACCCAAGTCAGAGGGCGAAACATGGATTTTGTAACTCCTAGGTCCTTCTGTGTGAGACTTCACTACACCGACACAGCAACGTACCAACAGACAATCGTCTTTGAGATAGTCTGACGCTTCTAAAAGGTTTCTCTTGAAAAAACGCTTGTATCCCCTGAAATGTGCATCAGAACATCAATAGCCATGCCACCAGAAAATAACAAACAAACTCGACTAGCATAATCATGAAACAAGAAACAGAAAATCCATCAGAATCCAGTCAATGGCACTACAGTATTAGGCTTCCAAGGCTCTCAGTGTTATCATTTCTCATGTGTGCATACACAAAACCGAAGCAAAGGATACGTCATAAGGCACAAGGAAATTTTACAACAAAGATCTAAATCCACCCAAAAGGAAACGTGAACTACGAATCATTAGGGAACAATTGAAAGCGGTGACATAAAGGAAATTGAACTTACCACATACTTCCCCGATACTTGAGAGTGTACGGCCCGCTCTCGAGAGTCCTGCCGAAATGGCTATGAACCTTGTGACTCCCATTACCGCTCTGATCCACAAGCGTGAGCTCGAACAACGCCCTCACATCCGCGCCCTCGCTCGCCAGCGCGATGAACAGAGAAACATACGCCGCGTTGTCCTCCGGACTCTTGCCGTCGGGGTAGAAGTAGACGGCCCACGAGTAACCCCCGACCATGAACGTGTCGGAGGCGACGTATTTGCCGATCCCCATCCCTTTCGCGAGAGAATAGCCACTGATCTTGAATTCGTGAGAGCCATTGACGGTTTCGGTGCGAGACGTCGAGGCGGTGGGCGTCGGGCACGAAGATTTCGAAGATCCGGGAACCTCCGGGCAAACCCTAATAGAGCCCATCAACAATACGAGATCTTGGATCCGCAAGCTTCGATGAAACTGAGGAGATGGGCGATCTTTTTTACCGGCAAAGATCGATGGGCAGGTCTCAAGCCTCCAAATTGGACAAGGAAGCCGGGATTTTTCCGAATTCAGAGACGAGAAATCAAGGTAAAAATTAGGGCTTTTGGGAGAAAAATCAAACAAACGAATCGGAGATTCGGAGAGAACAAAAGCCGAGACCGATAATCGCCGAAAATCGAAGATCGGGGAGAGGAGGAACGTGGCGACGATGACGTCGGTGAAGAGATGGAGAAGAATCTCAAGGTGGGCGTAAACTCAAAACATATGGAGTAGGTGGCCTGCACAATGCCATTTATAAAAAATCGTTATATGGACGTCAAATCTTAATACATACGCATTAACTTATCATTTTATATATAAGCTTATATAATAATAAGCACACCTATTCATCTAGCCAATAATAATAATTTACATGTTAAAAAACATGTGTTGGTGCAAAAAATAAAAGAAAAAAGAAATGAAATGTGAAAACGAAGGGTGAAATAGGATTTGAGTTAGATGATCCAATCTATCTAAGAGTGCATTACCAAAAATAGAAATATTTCAAAGACAAGGTTGGTTTATGGTCCGTTTGGTGGGTCTTGATTATCTATCCACCTCCTGCTGTTGCTGTATTACATTTTATTTATTTATTTTGATTCATATAATAAAACATAATATATCAAAGATTAGGGGTGTCAAACGAGCCAGTTCGGATTATTTTAGGTTCGGCTCATTTGGCTCGGATCGTTTTGGGTTCAGCTCGTTAGACTCGTTTTCTAACGAGTCAGAAAAACCTCAGCTCAAATCGCTCACCAATTTTCCGATCTGAACGAGTCGGCTCGTTGAGCCAATGATATATAATATTTTTTATTTATATTTATTTTAAATATAATTATAAATTTAAATAAATACATAAAAATTTATTAAAACACCAATATCATTTAATATTTTCAATTATCACCATCATAATAATTAGTATATTTATAATATCATATAAATAATATGAAAAAAATTTCGTTTTCTGGCGAGCCACGAGCTAGCTCACGAGACGGGCTCGTTTTGACACCCTAAAGATAATATATAGATTTGGAGAAAATATTAGTAATTATGATGTAAGACTAAACAAAAAAGAAACATTTAGAAAAAAAAATTCACTCTTTCAGTTGAAGTTTACATCTTTATGACATGTGATAAATAATGTACATTAGGAATTTATATTAAAATTTTAAGAAAACAATGAGATTTATAAAAAAATTATGAAATTCTAAGTAGACTACGAAATCTTTCATATAATTGGAACGCAAAACTCGAACCATCGCGAACATCGGGATCTCGCCCCCAAACGGATAATTTGAGATTTCACCGCCTAGAAATCCAAGCCGCTGGACGTGATCGTCGTCTCATAAACCCTAATTCATCTCGCGATTTGCTCTTCTTTAATCTCCAAATGTTTCGGAAACTCTGTTCTTCTCTCTCTCGCTCCACCTTCTCCCCAATTCCCACCAAACCCATCCCCAAATCCGGTCCTTATCCCCAATTTCTCCGTCAACATCCTCGCTTCTGTTCTTCTTCCTTGAAAATGACCGATACCCAGGCGCCGAATAGCGCTGAAAACCCTAATCCCGGCGCGATTTCGTCCCCCACTAAGCCCGAATTGCTTCGCGCGCTCGAATTCCATCTGGGCTCCTGCTTCTCCGTCGACCCGATAAGCCCTCCGCCGGTTCCGCTCATCATCGTAATCAGTGGTCCGAGCGGCGTCGGGAAAGACGCGGTGATTAAGAAGCTCCGTGAAGTGCGCGAGGGTCTGCATTTCGTCGTCACCGCCACGAGCCGAGCGATGCGGCCCGGTGAAATCGACGGCAAAGACTATTTTTTTGTGTCCAGGGACGAGTTCTTGTCAATGGTGGAGAAAGACGAGCTTCTGGAGTACGCCCTCGTCTACGGCGAATACAAAGGAGTACCCAAGAAGCAGATTCGAGAGTTCATGGCGAAAGGGTACGATATCGTTCTGAGAGTCGATATTCAGGGAGCTCAGACACTGCGGAAGATTCTGGGTAACTCCGCCGTGTTTATTTTCCTTGTGGCGGAGAGCGAGCTTGCGATGGTGGAGAGGTTGATTGATCGGAGGACTGAGAGTCAGGAGGAGCTGCTTGTTAGGGTTGCGACGGCGAGAGAAGAAGTTAGGCATCTGAAGAACTTCGATTACGTAGTGGTGAATGCAAAAGGGAAGCTTGACGACGCTGTTATGCGGGTCGAGTCCATCATCGATGCCGAGAAGGCTAAGGTTCATCAGAGGAGTGTCAGAATATGATCATCTCGCTTGTTTCCTTCTTTCATTGCAGGTATTTGCTCCCAAAGCTTTTGATTTTGTCATTGTTTTTTCATGCTTTTGTAATTCTTGTTTCAGTGTCGAATCTTCCGATTGCACTTTTGGCTTTGTTGATTAGGTCGAGGTGTTTGCTTCATACCCTTCTATCTTTAGACATGAAAGAGTATTTTTTTGGGTGGAATTTGAAGCTTTATTGCTATACAATGTGTGTGTGTGTGTATATGAAGTTTATTACACTATTATTGTGAATCCTATTGTTCTTCTGTATGTCTCAAACGAAATAGGTAGCCTGCTGTGCTTGGAGCTTTGGCTTAACTGGGAAAAAGTTGAGCTTATGGAGAGAATAACAGCTTATTATTAAAGCATCTCCCTCTGTTTATTATGGAAGTTGTGGATTGGCACATGCATTAGAGAAAAGCTCTTGCCTTTATTTGTTTTGCTTACATGATCTGCTTTGGACATGTTTTCCTGGTTGAGGCCTTATGTCTGTCGGCATGATCTATCTGGTTATGACGGGTGATCCTGAGTTTATGGTATGTGTCATAAGTTGCAATCACATGAAAATGAAGCATGGAGCTGTGAAATTACCCAAAATTAGTTCCACCGAATCCTTCTTATGTCAGTCCTTTTCAGGTTACGCAGATTTGATCATCGGGGGAAGGGATTACGTAAGGGAAACTGCAGCGGTTTGCTTATGCAGGAATGCATGCGTATCGGCATCGGACTGATTCATGTACCTGAGAAGACGAATCCTTGTTCTCCATGTCTTTGCACTCGTATGCCTCCTCCTCCTTCTTCTTTCAGATTAACAGTTTCTATTCTCTGTGTTACATAACACTGGCATTGATTCATTTTAATCCCAGAAGTGGCAAATGATGCAATCTTCAAAGGTTCATGGTTTTGCCAAAATCAAACGCATATAAATCATAGTAGATTCTATTGTTTGTTTAAGAAGGATCTTGCAAGAGCATTGAGGGGATGGAATGATGTTTGAGTCCTGCAGAAACTATGCTTGCTTTGGTTGTTTTCTTAGCAGCCTTTTTGCTTCTGTTTGATTGTAACTTCAACTGGTCAAGTAATCTGGAACCTATCTGATGAGTATTATTATTACATGAGTTCCAATCATTTCGGAACTTGGTTTTGCCCACGAAACAAGCAACCCTGTTCTGAAGAGTTTATCTATATAGATATATATATTTTACATTTACTGAGTGTTTTTTTGTGGAAAGTCAGAATGTTTTTATCACACTAATCAGTGATTTACCATTGTTAATTTTCATTAAATGGATCAGATTTTACATAATATTGATCTTCCTCATCCTATTATGGATTTTGTGGGCCCCATGGGTAGAGACTTTAACTTGACACAAGAAGACTTGTGCTGGAATCCAGCCTTGCAAGTCATCGTCACTTCCGAGTCGGCTCACGAATTTTATTTTTTTAATTTTAATTATAATTATAATTATTATAATTCTTTCACAAGTTCATGTACGTAAACTTTACAAATAATTTTCGACTTATTAGGATCCTTTTAAAACTGGATATCGAATTATTTTTATTGTAATATATTGGCATGCATATAACAAAAAAAAGTGTAACGATGGCGTGTATGTACCTTTTCTTGTTATAAGACATGATTCCATAAAGGATGCCTTTTAATATCGTACATATAATTTTTCTTTTCTTTAAACAAATCTATATAATTTCTTATAATAAATATAGGGAAAAATATTATAGATATCTGAATTTAGAGCCATAATTAGCATTGTATCTGCATATTTTCAGTACGTCATGACTATTATCCTATAATAAATTAGTAAAGTCATCACCTTTTGTATTACCGATGATAATATATGTCGCACTAATATGATTCATACTTCACAAATTGTATTTATATATTTATTTATAACATCAGACTCAACAACTTAATTAAGATCAGTTTGTAATTGTGTATATATGATTTTGAATAAAAGAAAAAGATCAACGGCACACATATATACATATTTGTATGTATATGCTGACTTTAATAAGGGATAAATATAAAAAAAAAAAAACAGAAAGGCAAATATATTTTCTAAGAAACAAAAACAAAAAAGAAAAAGGGAAAAGGAAGAGAAATCATGTAATGTGGATGGAGGAGGAGAAGAAGAAAGCTTGGGAACACTTTGAGAAAACATTTTCCTGGGAAAGTGACAGAAAATTATACAGCAACTCGAAGTTACACTTTCTTGCACATTTCCTCTTGCTTAATGGTGTCCCTTGCTCTCCAAGCTTCCCCCCCTTTTCTTCCCATATATATATATATATATATGTGTATATATATACGCATCATATTAATTCACGTTTTCTCCATGTCTCTCTGATCTGCAATTACACAACAGCAACTACTCCGAAACGAAATTACAGAAAAAAAAAAAAAGATCGAGAAGGAGGGGAAATTAAGTTTTGGAAGCAGGGTTTTCATGGATTCGGACAAGTTCGAAGAGGATAACTGGAAGAACATTCGTTTACAGGTCTTGTTCTGGAAACCCCATCTATGGTGAAAACCACGTGTTCATGCATGGCCCATGCTTCTATGTTCGTAATATGTACTCCCTTAAAAAAAAAGTTTTTTTTCCCTTCAAAAAACAGGTGTTTGATCTGCAGAAGCTGGAGGAAGCACGCGGCTCAAGCGACACCGTTTTCCAGCCCAAAAGCAGCATCGAGAAATGCGACAGCGGCGAAACCGCAGACGCGGACGCGGCCTCCGTCTCTTCCGCGACTGCGTTTCAGGCGACGACAACAGCAATCCCGGCACCGGAGCAGAGGCTAACTCTGTTCGCTCTCCGGCTCGCCATCCTCGAGAAGGCCGCGACGGGGCTCGGAACCCTAGGGTTCATCTGGGCGACGGTGGTCCTGCTCGGCGGATTCGCCATCACCCTCGACAAGACCGATTTCTGGTTCATCACCATCATCCTCCTCATCGAAGGAACCAGAATCTTCAGCCGTAGCCACGAGCTCGAGTGGCAGGGCCAGGCCACCTGGACCATCTCCGGCGCCGGAATCAACAGCTTTCGCGCCCTCCGGTCTGGCTCTATTTCGCTTCTAAGGAGCATGAAACGATTCAGGTATAAACAATTGCTTTCCCGGCGGTTCACACGTTTCAGTTCTCGGTCCGGTTTTGGTTTTGGTAGACCGGTTTTTATTTTGGTTTGGTGTAGATTCGGTTCGGTTTTCTTTCTACCGGTTATTAAACCACTGTTCTTCTTCTTCCTCCTCACATGACAGCGAAGGGATCCTGGAGAAGATTCTGAAAAGGCGATCGAGAGAAGCGGCGAGAGATCGAGTGGTCCGACAAGGGAACTTCGATCGTCGAACGACTCGGATTCGGACATGGAAGAGCTCAGACGTACCTCTTTTGCCGTACGCGAGATGGTTCTTCCTCTCCAGCAACGTGAGTCGGCTTCTGTACTGGCTTCAGATCCTGTCCGCTACGGCCTGTGTAGCTTTATCCTCTTACAAGCTCGTCAGACACAACTATGGCGACGTTCAGAAAGGGGACACGGACAAGATGAACAGACAGTCCGCTCTCAACATATTCTACGCTCTCGCACTGGCCGAGGCGTTGCTATTTCTGAACGAGAAAGCGTATTGGGAATGGCAGGTCAGTTTTCCGGAAACAAATTTAGGGTTTTGGTCCTCACTGGATTTTGCATCGTTTTAGGAATATGACACCAGATTATCTTGCATTTCATCTGTTTATAACGGATGCATATTAGATTCGGTCGTCAAACGACGCCAATTCGCCGAAGAATTTGATGAACAATGAAGATAGATTGTGTTATGAGCATGCTTTACGCCATCAAACAATCTTATTGTTTATCTGATGCAGACAGTTTGTGTGGAATTTGCAGGTCAGTGTCTGCAACCTGCTTGAGGAAGTGAACAAAGAATGCGAGTTGGGGGTTACAGGGATGGTATCGATCAAAAGGTTCTTTTATGATGCATATTCTAAGTGTGTCAATGGAAGCATTTTCGATGGATTGAAGATGGACATGGTGAGCTTTGCGATGGAGCTATTGGGCTCGAGCTCCCAGGACGAACAGCTCATCGGAGTGAGGATTCTCAGACAGTCTGCGATGAACCAGCAGTATTCTGACGATACACTTCAGAAGATCGGGATCAACTTATCAGTCATCGAAAGGTTAGCTCTTTGCATACAAATGGATATCATGGAGAACTGTAATTTAAACCGTGATTTCATAATTTCGAAGATAATGTAAGTTCTTTAGTGTAGACTTAATCAGATCACTTTCATTTCATAGTTCATTCTGATGCTACGATTTATCTTCTGAAAGTTGAGAAGTTTAAAGCTTTTCTTAGCAGGTTGGTAGAGATGCTGAACTGGAAAGACCCGCAAGAAGAAGAGATTAGGAGATCGGCTGCTGAGATACTTTCGAAACTCGCCGGAAAAAAGCAGAACTCTCTGAGAGTGGCTGGGATCTCTGGTGCTATGGAATCTATTTCTTCGCTGTTACAGAACACTAGATCTTCAGGCGATGGGCCTGACGTGATTGGGGAGAAGAAGATCTTCCACGACCATCCTTTACACTACGATTTCTGGAGATTCAACGATTTAGGCCTCTTGATTCTGAAGAAACTAGCCAGAGACCATGACAACTGTGGGAAAATCGGAAACACGAGAGGGCTTCTCCCAAAGATCATCGATTTCACTCATGCGGACGAAACACTCTTGAGGGACGAGAATGCTGACGACGATTGCCGGTTGCAGGTTCTGACCTTGAAAAGATCGCTTCAACTGGTGAAGATGCTGGCCAGCACGACTGGAAACACGGGGAAATGTCTCCGGAGAGAGATATCCGAGATCGTCTTCACGATCAGCAACATGAGAGATATACTGCGTTACGGGAAGAGATACCCAAAACTTCAGAAGCTCGCGATAGAGATCCTGAGCTTCCTTGCGTTGGAGAAGGATGCAAGGGAGAAAATTGGAGGGACGGGTGGGATTTTGAAAGAGCTATTCAACATATTTCTAAAAGGGGAAATGCCTCGAGGTGAGAAGGAGGGGGGCCGGGTTAGGATCGTGGCGGGAGAAGCCATTGCAATGCTGGTGTTGGAGAGCAGAAGCAACTGCATTCGCGCTCTGAAGCTTGGTGTTTCTGCAAGAATGGTGGAGGCACTTGAAGTTCCTCTGGTCCGTGTGAATGCGGCCAGAGTGTTGAGGAACTTATGCTTATATTCAGGAGATGAATGCTTTCACGATCTTGAGTTCATGAAAGCAGCAGCACCAATGGTGAGTTTTTCGGTATAAAGTTTGATCCTTTTTCTGGGTTAACACAGCTAAAAATCATTCAACTTTCTCCATCGTCTTGCAGGTTTTGAAGTGGACGACATCTGAAGAGAGCAAATTACAGGAAGTGATGGTAGGATTAGCAGCACAAGTGTTCAGATTCATGGCCTCGGAAGAATCGAAAGCTGTTTTCGCGGATTCGGGAATCGAAAGGGAGCAACTGGCGAGAACCATGGTTTCGATCCTGAAGAAGAACGACAAGCCGGCTATCAAAGTTCCGAGGATAAGGAGGTTTGCGATAGAGTTGGCGATATGGATGATGGAAGATGATTCAGACAGCGTCGGCGTTTTCAAAGAACTGAGACTGGAGGAGGAGCTGGAGAAGGTTCTGGAAACTACGGCTGAGGTGGAGAACTTTGACGTTTTCTCAGGCACTGTCGGAATGAGCCGCCATAGCAGAACCGTGTTTTCTCTTGCAGAATCCGCCATGAAGATCCTCCAAGATGATCATCCCCCACAATAACAAACGCCGTCTTTCAATTCCAATTACGATTCAAATCATTCTTTTCTGTTTTGTGGGTGCGAGAAGAACAATAATATAATTACTCTGTAAAGTAAGATAATCTATGCTTATGCATTCTTTGATTTATTGTCCACTATTTATGTGTATAATGGATTGGAGCATAACAAAATATTCTCCTTTGACTTGAATATAATGTATAATTGAATATAATGTTATAATTCATAATGTTTTTATCAAATGATTAGTGAGATATATAAGGAATGAACATAATAAATAAAATGAGTAATTATAATAAATTTAACGGACTATATTATTGAATACATAAATCACAGTTAAAAAAAATATATATGTTAAAATCAAAATAGTAAAAGAATACCAAGACTATTTTTGATATAATGCGTCGTGGATTTGATCATTTGCTCTAGGGATCAGAGACGTTGCTTACTTCACAAGAAACTCTTCTTCTAAAACAAAGTCAACCATTCATCACCAAAACAGATCAGTAAAAAAGATTCCAACTTTTGATGAGAGAAAAAAAAACTAAGGGGGGAAAAGGCTTTTAATATTACATTACATCCTAAGATTCTGGAATCATGAACTTCCCGAGGAAACTAAACAAACACTTGGTTTTTTTCTTCCAAAACCCTAACTTAAAATCTTTTTGTTCAGATTCTAAGGAACAAAGTAAAAAAAAAAAACAAGAGAAAGAAGAAGCAAACATGTCAACATATCACCGACTGCGCCATTACAATGGATGACAATTGAGGAAGGACAATGCTTCTCCCACCTCCACCACCTGTGGCTCTGTTGCGGCTGGGGGAGGTTTTTTTTTTTTTTTTTTTTTTTTAAAAAAAAATCTTTTTGTTCAGATTCTAAGGAACAAAGTAAAAAAAAAAAACAAGAGAAAGAAGAAGCAAACATGTCAACATATCACCGACTGCGCCATTACAATGGATGACAATTGAGGAAGGACAATGCTTCTCCCACCTCCACCACCTGTGGCTCTGTTGCGGCTGGGGGAGGTTTTTTTTTTTTTTTTTTTTTTTTAAAAAAGATATGGGACATTGACACACATGACTTCATCCTCTTCAGGAGCTGAGCACATCCTGCAAAGAAAGAATGAGAAAAAACCCTAATCCGAATCTGTAAAGAGGAGAACTTTTAAAGAGGACAAGAGATCATTAGGGTTTACAGCGACCAACCTCACCTATTTACAGAGCATTTCAATTGATGCCGGTGATTCTCTGCAATTCCTAATTCACGAAATCAGATTTGAATAACTCCATTTCTTTTGTTTATATTTTTAGAAAAAACAAGTGTCAAATAATTAAATTGATTTACATAACATCTACAAAAAAAGCAGGTAACATCAGCATAAGCAGGAGGATCATTAACTGCCAATTTTAAAGTGGCTTTTTCATGGCAAATGATTCAGGAGACTTTTCAGACATCAATGCGGTAATAAAACAGAGCAGGAGAAAGATACCAGAAAAACGACCAGCTATCCGCAGAAAATTTGAACCCTAGCGATAAAGATCAGATTGTTAAACCGAGAAAGGAGAGAATAGAGATGATCTTACTTTTCTACTTCCAGCCAGTGTTCATCTCTGCCAACACAGTTTCTTCCCGCCCTCTCGCATGATTTCATACGCAAGCTTGTACTTCTCCAGTGACGATGTCCCAAACTCTATGTACTTAGAGGCTGCCTCTCTCAGGCTCCACACCATCAGGGCCTTGAGGTCCTGAGAACTTACACCCGATTCCACGTCTCTTACAAACCCAAACTCTGCATTCTTGGTCCAGCGGTGAAGTATATACCGTGATGGGAGTTCTCTCATGTCTAAGAGGTTGAAAACTTTCAGGATATGCCTGCAGAGCAATCCTTCGTATTCAAACATCTGGCAACTGCAACTCACGTTGAGATTCGTCGCACTGAAGGTGACAGCATGCTTCTCATTCTCGTTCCCACATTTTCTCACCAGGAATCTGCTGATGGCTCCTTCCTCGTAGGTCTTTAACCCGAGATAGTTATACGATTGGACGAGCTCGTTTTGGAAGATCCTGAAGATGGTGAGTGTGTACAGCCTTCTGCACTGTTCTTCCACGGGTTCTTTTGTCTGCAGAAATGGCTGCAGGTTGTAAGAATTAAAATCCTCTTTCCTTTCCTCCTCACGGCGTTGCTCAAGCCCTTGCTCGTAACACGAAACGAACTCCCTGAGAGGCGTTAGAGAATCCAAGGAAGTGCCAAAGAACGGTTCAACGTTACCATTTATTGGGATTCCGCCAAAGAAAGTGCCCCTTAGATATGCGGGAACCCAGTTCTCACGCTTTTCATACATTTCCCTAAGCCACATGTTATCCCTCAAACCGTATTTGTTAACAAGAGCATTCCACATTGTGTCAAACTCAACTGTTGTCTGCGTCTGGTATATACACTTCTCATACTCATACTTGAATTCATTGGGAAACGCCCTCAGATTCTCTCGTTCCTTGGCCCTGATTTGCCAAGATGAGTATCGGTGATGGGTCCCGGGAAAGATTTGAGCCACAGCTTGCTGGATAGCCAAGTCCTGATCAGCTACAATGGACCTTGGACGGTGGCCAGACATGGCACGAAGCCATGTCTGAAATAACCACGTGAAAACCTCCTTAGATTCGTCAGAAATAAGGGCACAGCCAAGAAGCACAGGTTGCCTGTGGTGATTAAAACCAACAAATGTAGCAAATGGGACAGAGTAGTTTCCTTTCCTGTATGACGTGTCGAAAACGACAGCATCGCCAAACTGACTGCAGGCAAACCTTGCTCGGCTGTCCGCCCAGAAAACGCTCATACAGCTGCCGTTGCTGTCTAGTTCAACAGCATAAAAGAATCCCGTGTCCTCAGCCTGTCTGGTCTGAAAATACTCTAGAAGCACCGGATACCACTCCTTCCCAATCGTGTTTTCACGGGTTTTCTTGATGTGGTTTCCGAAGTCATTTAATTCAATAAGATCCACAGAATCTAACCCTCCTGTCACATCCTCTGTAATCTTTTTCATACCCGCATTCTTCTTCCCTGGCTCAAGCTCATGATTATGATCTTTATTGAGACGATCCACTATCCAACCTCCAGAGTCCTGTTTTTTTATTCTCATGTAAGCTCCACAGCCCATTCTTGAAGGATGCTGAAACCCTTCTTTTGAGCACACAAACCGTCTAGATGTGATCGATCCATCGACTTTTGAACGAAACAATTGACCAATCCGAACCCTAAAACCCACAACTTCTGCATACGCCTGATAAAACTGGCACGCTTCATTAGCCGAACTGAACTCCAAGCCTGCATATGGTTCAGCGGCATTGGGCTGTGTTTGCACATCACCACCATCTCCTGCCCCTTTGAAGCGTTTGAAAGAAATTACACCAGATGGGCATGACCGTGCTTTATCAGACTCATCGATAACTTTCATCTTGGGTCTATGTGGAACTGACACAGCTAGCTTTGTAGGAGCTGGAGGTCTCTGACTTACGACCGGGGGGCGGGGAGTCTCCTCCACTTGACCTCCAAGCTCATGGTTGTGCTCTTTCTGGATTTGGTCAAGAACCCATTTCCCAGTATCACGTCGCTGCACCCTGACGAATGCAGGAGAGATTACACCAGACGGGCAAGACAGTGCTTTATCAGATTCATCGATAACTTTCATCTTGGGTCTATGTGGAACTGACACAGCTAGCTTTGTAGGAGCTGGAGGTCTCTGACTTACGACCGGGGGGCGGGGAGTCTCCTCCACTTGACCTCCAAGCTCATGGTTGTGCTCTTTCTGGATTTGGTCAAGAACCCATTTCCCAGTATCACGTCGCTGCACCCTGACGAATGCAGGACATCCAGTCCTTGAATTCAGCTGAAAACCCTCCTTTGAACAAACAAACCTTCTCGATGTAACCGTCCCATCTGTTCTTGACCTATACATCTGACCTGACCTAACTTTGAAACCCGTACGCGTAGCATAAGAAGTGTAGAACTCCCGTGCCTCTTCCACAGAGTCAAATTCTAGACCCACATATGGTTCAACTCCTGAGTCTCCTTCGTCTTCACCTATGCCGTTGTTGTTCATAATCCGGACCATGCCTAACGGGTACGCTTTCACAACCATGTTGTTCCCACAGTTCAGACCGGCAGGCTCAGTATCTGCACTGCATCGATCCAAAGAAGGAAACAAATAACAAATATAAAATAGTTAAAAACTACTCGGAATAGTCGAATCCACACAATACCAACGACTCTAAAAGCCAAATAGACATTCACTACAGCTACACATGAGTCCTACCAACCCAGAAAACACATAAACTAGGGATTTGCGAAATCTAGAAGTAGAGAAATTTCCAAAATGAGCACAGATAAATGCTAGGATTACACGGAAACTTTCAGCAAGAGCAAATACGACACCCACACAGATGTGCACTGAAGATCTTGGGAGAAGATGTTCCACCCTAAGTGTAGATCTCCAATCATTCGCTCCAGGAAACCAAAAAGGAAGAAAGTAAATGCAAAAGAAAACGCCCAACCGACGAAATGAAGAAGAAGACGAATCAAACACACAGCGAGCTGCAGCTATAGATCAAACCCATCGAGAATCTAACCACACGAACACCAAGAGAATCCAACATCAGAACAGAAATCGTTTCCATAGAGGGAAAAAAAAAGCACAATCCGCGCACAAATCAGCTAGGATCTTTACGAAGATTACCTCTCCATCTTCCGTCGAAGCGACCAGAGACCACAGAACCAGAGTGAAGCACAAAGCAAACCTCAGATCCTCCCCTAACTTGACGGCGATTGCGAGAGAGCTAGAGACTCAAACTCTTCGGCGATCGGAACAACTTTCAAGGCTTCAATTTTCGTTCTTCCCCACAGCCTTTGGCGGGAAATTGATGGAGGTAGGAGCAATAATTAGGGATTTCAGCGAAGACGATAGACCCAGAAAACACAGAGCGAAGAGAGAGGGAGACAGAAGAGAGAGAAGAAGCAGACCCCCTCTTTTCTATCCGACGATTGACCGAATTTAAAAGATTTCATGTAATAAACTAATATTCCATCACTTAACATAAAATTAACTATTCCTCTGAAAGGAAATGCTCAATTAATCTTACCCAAAAAAAAAAAAAAACATTTCCCTGGGGGCAATACTGGAAATTGGGCACCAGATATCAAAATGGGCCAAAGCCCATCAATACAGATTTCGTAACCGGTAATTATTAATGGGCTGATCTCAGCCCATTTATTAAAACTCTAGGTGAATCATTTAATACGCTCAGGAGATCATCAAGAATAAGGAGTGGCTTTGAGGCTTAGAAGTAGGTGGTGCCCCTGGCCAAGAAGATGATGATCATGATGATCATGATGAAGAAGATGATGATCATCATCATCATGATGAGAGGCATGTGAGAACAAAACAACTAATATTGTTATGTGACAATATCAGGACATTCAAATGGCCTAACCACATCCATCCTATTTTTTTTTTCTTTTTCCCAAGTGCTGCAAAACTGAACAATGGGTTTATTATTTATAGTTTGCTGCTGCTCCACTTCATTCCTCGAAGCTTGAGAGCATACTAACGCAACGGAATCCAGATTTTTTTTTCAAAGAATGATGGCTCAGTATTATAACCTGAAATTCTGAAAGAATCATTTAACCTATCATCAGTCAGATGGGTTCTCTATATTTGTAGCCTCTGTCGTTACTCTGCATCTGTCGCACACAGACGCTCTGCACAGGAAGAAGAAGAGAGTATCAACATATTAGGTTCTATTGTAAAAACCATGAAACATCGTAAAGATTGGATCTTTGGCTTTTTTTTATTTGCCAGAGGGGGGCAACAATGCTACGGATGAGGAGAAACATGTCTTACTCAGGTATTCGTAGGTGAGAATCATTGAGGTGCCCCAAGCGGACATGCTGAAAAATCTCGGACCCAACCCCCTGTAGAACCCTTTCCACCCATACTCCCCCATCAGATTCTTCACCACTTGTCTCGCTGAAGGTCTTTTCTCCTTCTCCTGATTTCCCATTACCTTCAGAGAGACGGCCGATTCCAATGATCAGAACATGCAGCACACAACATCGTTTCAAGCAAACACTTCGTCCGGTACATACAAATCTTTAGATAGCTAAGTTTATGCACTGATTCCCAGTTTTTCCGGAAGGTCTTAATTTTACAAGATGCACTCTATTCATGACAGTGATAACCCCAAAACATCATAAACTTTTAACACTGCAAAGGTCTTTGGAAGATACCTGTAACCGCGTCTTGATAGTGTCCAGTGGTGTTGTAATTAAGGATGCTGTAGCACCAGCAATGATTCCCCCGCAAGCCTGGACAAGCATGATTTTTGGCTGACTAGGAGCAGCAACCTCCGAATCACCATCATAGCCTAAGGATCTGCCAAAAAGCATTCAGGTTCTGCATCAGATGAAAACTAGCTCTGGCAACTAAGATTTTCCTATGATACTTCTGAAAAAAATTGATGCAGAAGCTGTTTATCAGCACAAGAAGCAACAACATATCCTTATAACTAGCCGTTTCCATGATCTTGAGACATCCATTTGAAAGGAAACTTTCAAAAATTGAACTGAGGTGCATCACATGATGGAAGTCGAAACAAAGTTTCTGATCAATTATCGTGCATTCACATCTAACCTCCAGATGACACGTTGGCTCGACCCATAGCTGGCCCACCATGCAGCACTTGATGGGGAATAGGTCATGACGGACAGACCAAAACCCCTGTATAAGCCCCTTACACCATCTGCTTTTATAACTTTTCGAACAACATCAAGACCACCATTGTATGTTGCGTGACCTGAGTATCCTTGCACCATCAACTTTTGGCTAACCTGCAAAGAGACAGAGAAAGGATTTCAGCAACTCCTTCTTCTCCAACTAGAGCATTAGGTATACAGCATGAGCAAATCCTAACAAGGTGGCAATAACACATACCACATCTATTGGGACAAACACGGCCTGTGAGAACAGAGAAGCTGTCATGCCACCAATGCCATTTGCAATTGCTGCCTGTGTTGGTTCATTGAACTTGAATGGTTCAACCAACTTAAAAGCAGCTATTTTTGTGGTCTCTAAAGCAGTCATAAAAATGATCCTTGCAGGTATTGCACCGGTAATGACAGTACCAAAGCCTCGGTATAGACCAGGAATACCATCATTCTTCAGTAAGCCTTTGACGACAGAAAATGCATTTCTTTCAGCGACATCTTTAGAGGCAACCTGAAGCCTGGTCTTCACAACTGAAACAGGGTACAGAGCTACTGTGAGACCCGTAAAGAGTCCAGCTCCAACGACATAAAATTTCGTTTTGTCAAGCCTGCAAATAAAGGAGAGATGTGATTTATTCTCAAAGGAGAAATTCAGATAACGTTCTGTACAACTTGACATCGTGCTTGTAATAAGACTAGTAAATAAGGATCTATAAGGAGTCTTTCAACCAGAATTTCCACAGATTTGAAACTTCATAGACCATAACACACTTCCATGAATCTTTACCCAGAAAAACTGTGTTCATGCCCAAAGTAGATATAAAGTTTCTGCAACAAATTTTTCCATGAGTACAGACACACATCTAAAATCTATTGTCTAAAAAGAGAACTCCAGTGTAACTGGATCATGGAAAATAGTTCGCTGTGAACAAGAACTCTCAAGATCCAAGAACCCCCGCCATTTCAACCTAATAGTTTCACACAACAGATTGAATCAACAGAAGCGGCAGCAAAGCTGTTCCTCGCAGCAATTACATGAGAAAATTCTATCAACGGATAAACCTGACACCACAAGACAACCCTAGACGAAGATTTAAAGCCTCCCAAAACTTCCACCAAATCTTTACAAGTTCGATTTGACGTGACAAGAAATGACAGTCAGCACCATTAGCCCTAGCATTTCGGCAACTGCGATTTCTCTCCTATTCATCTAGACAACCTCATCCCGTCTCCCCTCCAACTATTCCCAACACAAAGCTCCAAGTGTAGGGTTCCGTTTTTTGCCGCAAAACTCCCAAAATGAATCATTCGACAGACATCCAATCAGATGAGAAATCGAATTCGAAAAGGAATTCGGATCGGAGCAATCAAGCGATGTTGAGCTAACAACACAAAGAAATCAAACAAGAAAACAAGGGAATCAATGAAAACGTACTTGTCCCAGTTAATCTCCGTCTGCACGAAAGAATCAACGCGAGAGCTCGGCCTGTTCATGACTCGGGTGGGACGTCACGGAACTGAGTCGAGGTAGAGAATTTGCCTACGACTCAGGAAGACATCTGCATTAATGGAGACCAGGAGACGAAGACGACCCAGAAGACATGAGAAAAATATATATATTTTTTTTTCTAGCAGATTTCTTGGAGGCCAAACAAAACAATTGATTCCGTGCTGAGAAACGAAAAATACTTCTTTCACGCAACGATTGCAAACGCTGTCGCGTTTTCGCCAGAACGGCGTTTTTAAGACGGAAGAGTGATTCTGACTGAACCGGACAATTAAACCGGGTTTCACATTTACCGGACCAGATTCCGGTTGGATTAAATGTAAAAGCCTTATTACAAGTGCATAAACGCTTGTGCATTAAGCTAAAATTACAACACTTGGCACACTAATGACCATCTTCTTCTCTTTTCCCACTAAAGCAAACCTCCTTTTTCGGCTTTCCCCCTTCCTCAGCGGTCAGACCCAAACCCTGCAAAAACCCATAAAAAAAAATGTCGAAAATTTTTCATTTTTAATGGAGAAGTAAGTACAAAGATTTAGGAGATAATTGGGTGATTTCTCTTTCCGGGTTTCTTTTCGAATCGTGGTTAATCACTTGTCTTGGATTCTAAGCTTTTGCCTAGCTTTTATACGTTGAGTTTTTTTTTTCCCATCAGAGTTGCGTTAGACTGGGAGAAAATGGCGTTCTTGTGTTCTTCAATCTTCCTCAAGCTCGCCATTTCGGTGATCTTCATGCTTTCATGGTTTGGTTTCGCTCCAACAGGTAAAGCCAAGGAACATTTTTTCTCCCAGAAAAGTTCATCTTTACAAGCCTTTCTTCGTGTCTTGTTTTTTATGTTACCCTCTGTTTTCTAGGGTTTGTTTCATCTGTTACTGCAATGCACCTTCTGTTTTTTGTGTTGAACCGGATAAAGTTTCCCTTCTTTTTTTTTGGTAAATATGTCTTTTTTCCACCCCCTTTTGCAGTTGGCTTTTGAAAATTTTTACTGCTGGAAGAATTGCATGGAGTTTTGTCCCTGGGTTTTACTCTTCGAAAAGACAGTGGGTGGTTGTAGAAAGTGACACATTCAGGAAAATGTAATGAGATTTTGTAGCCGTTGGTTCTCACTAGGGTTTGAACGACGTGAAAGAACAGGGAACGGCTTTTGGAATTAAATTTCAGTGCTCTTTTTAGGGGGGAAATCATATAAAGAAAGAAATAGATAGCTTATATCTCTGCTTCATGTATGTTTGCAATTGTTTCAGGAGCATATGATGCCTTAGACCCATTTGGGAATATCACAATCAAATGGGACATCATGACATGGACCGCTGATGGCTATGTGGTATGTTATTAGTTTCATTTTGCAAATCCATTATTTTCTTGATTGCTTGCCACTGTGTTTTACATGTAACCCTTTTTTTGCCTTTCAAGATTGCATTTTCATTATTCTGTTTTGTGCAGGCTGTTGTAACAATCTACAATTTTCAGCAATATCGGCACATTCAGGCTCCTGGTTGGTCTCTTGGATGGACATGGGCAAAGAGAGAGGTAATATGGGGTATGAATGGAGGACAGACAACAGAACAAGGAGATTGTTCAAGATTCAAAGGAAATATTCCGCATTGCTGTAAAAAAGATCCTACTGTGGTTGATCTTTTGCCCGGAACTCCTTACAATCAGCAGATTGCAAATTGCTGCAAAGGTGGGGTTATAAACTCGTGGGCACAAGATCCTGCAACCGCTGTTGCAGCTTTCCAGCTCACTGTGGGGCAAGCCGGAACCACCAATAAGACTGTTAGAGTGCCAAAGAATTTCACTTTGAAAGCTCCAGGACCTGGATATACTTGTGGGGCCGGGAACATCATCAAGCCTAGCAGATTCATCAGTCCAGATAAACGGAGGGTCACTCAAGCATTGAGTAAGTTTACCTCTTATGATGTTATATACATCATTGTCTTTCTAGTTTGTGTTCATGTTGTGGTTGCAACTGAAAATTTTACTCTTTGTTTTCTGGGTTTTGTTGTGTTGTAGTGACTTGGAACGTAACTTGCACATACTCGCAATTCTTGGCTCAGAAGACTCCCACTTGCTGTGTTTCGCTTTCATCGTTCTATAACAATACAATAGTTTCTTGTCCAACATGCTCTTGTGGATGCAGAAAAACACCACAGTCAGGAACCTGTGTAGAGTGAGTTCATACAACTCTCACTGCCCTTGTGAATGTTACTTTTAGTTTTCAGATTAAATTCGATGTTCTATCTGTTGTTTCCGATTTGCAGTCCAAAGGGTCCAAGGATCGCATCAGTAATTCAAAGTCCTGGGAAGAATGCTTACATACCACCTCTTGTCCAATGTACAAATCACATGTGTCCGATAAGAATCCATTGGCATGTGAAGGTTAACTACAAGGAGTATTGGCGGGTTAAGATCTCAATTACAAACTTCAATTACATTATGAATTACTCTCAGTGGAATGTGGTAGTGCAGCATCCCAACTTCGACAACCTCACTAAGACTTTCAGCTTTAACTCTAAGCCCTTGACTCCTTATGCTTCCATAAGTACATTTTCTACCTATGGTCCATGTTTCCATAACTCAGATACAGTTCATAGAGGGACAATCTCATGGAGTCTTGACGTTTCTGTTGCATATTTGTATTGGTTACAGATGATACTGCCATTCTATGGGGAGTAAAGTATTACAACGATCTTCTCATGCATGCTGGCCCATCTGGTAATGTACAGTCGGAACTACTTTTCCAGAAAGACCCATCTAGTTTCACGCTTGAAAAGGGTTGGGCATTCCCGAGAAGAATATACTTCAATGGAGATAACTGTGTGATGCCTCCTCCTGATTCTTACCCTTGGCTGCCAAATACTAGCTCACGTCGCATTAGTTCTCCATTCATAGATGTTATAATCCTCTTGTCAGTGACAGCTTTCCAACTCAGCAACTTGTAGAATCTAGAAGTGCAGAATTATCTTCTGCAATTTTGATCAGCTGTTACAATAGAAGTATCAGTTAATCTAGACTAAAGAGAATGGTGGGGGTTTTTTTTTCTTTTGGATTTCTCCTACTAAAAGATGAGTCCAGGTAGGTTAGCATTCTCAGGAAATCTTGTTGTTTTGTGTGATCACCGTTGTATCATTTCTTCTTCTCTGCAGCTTAGTCTCCTTGTCTGTAATCTCCACATCTTGCAAACTATTGCTTATGTAACAGGAATGATAGACTAACCTATTGTTCTTGATGTTTCATATTGTTGTTTATGTTTCTGTTCATGACGGCAATTGTCTTTGCTTGTTTCCTTTTTCCACTGTTATTGTGTATCAGTCTCTCCGTTTCTTCAGGTCGGTACAAAGGAAAAGCCGGCAATTGTGGATCAAGAAGTATGAAACAATGAAGGTAAAACTCACAAATCTCTAAACATCTCTGTTACAAAACTCATGTTTCATCTTTGACCAGAAAATGTATATAACAGTGCTGCATTCAGATTGCAAAAAGATTCTGTTTATGTTTTTGTTTGCTTCTCTTTAGAATGTTATGCCTTTGATACCTGTGATTCTGGTAGACCGTAAATCTAAAAGATGTGCTCTTGGCTTCAGATCTTGAAAGCTTCTCTGCTCAGCCCACAAGGAAGAATCACCAGATAGAGATCAAGAGAAGAAGCGCAAGTAGCAATGTCAAGAAAGAAGCTAAGTTTCCTTGCGCTGAGTTTGGTAGGAACGGATATGTATCGGGTGGAGGTAACATGCACTCATCACCATTAAAGTAAACTTTTCTTGGAAAAGCCCAGCCTTGCTTGAAAGTGAACGTGTTCTTATCTTTCTGAAGTAGCACCTCTGACTGAACATTCCCGAAAGGCCCTGCTTCCATCAAGAGATCATTGTAGAATTTCATTCCATAGAACATCCCCGTATCATCTGCATACATATATCAAAATGCATCTTTAGTCTTGCATGTTATTATCCTTGAAAGATTGACAGAAAAGTTAAAACCTGACTCACTTATGGATCCATAAGGAACGAGTGGCTTGTAATCAAAACTGAAAACTTGAGTCACATTGTTGAGGTTTGGATGTTGGATAGCCAGTGTCCAAAGTGTATAGTTCATGCGGTAGTTGAAATTTGTGACCGCTATCTTCACTCGCCAATAGTCTTTGTAGTTAACTTTTACATGCCAGTGAACTCTAACCGGGCACATATGGTGTGTGCATTGCAGCAAAGGAGCATTGTCTTTTTTCGGAGTATTAATACCCTTCATGCTTAATATCTTGGAATTACTCCTGCAAATATCAACGCGATCTCGTTAGGTGAAAGTGTTTATAACTCGTTAAGTTTTGAATAGCTTGATTTTTTTTTTCTCACTTGACACAGCCCTTTTTGTTCTCACAACCACAGGCACAAGAAGGGCAAGGAGTTATGGTGTCATTGTAGAAGGATGAGAAGGAGACACAACAGCTTGGGTGTTTTCTTGCCAGAAACTGCGAGTATGTGCAGGTAACATTCCATGTCACTGCAGAAAGAGAAGTTTACTTACAATCACCCTCTTTAGTGTAAGAACAGGAATATACATGCATCGTCTCAAGTTCATGTATCCATAAATGCACACTAAACCCATATAACCTGCATAAACGTGTGTGTGTATACACACACCCATGCAAGTGTGGGTTAAAAAAAATGAATCATGGCATCTGTGTACAGAGTACTCCGTGTTGCATGATTCTCTTATCAAACGTCTTCGTGAGCTATGATCAATATGGGGCAGCACTGAATTTCACACATAATGGGAAATGTGTGTGTGTGTGTGTGTGTGAGAGAGAGAGAGAGAGAGAGAGAGAGAGAGAGGTAAGAATCGAATTGATTTAGATTGTCAAATGAGCTTACTCAAGGCCTGTGTCTTTCGCCGCTTGTCAGGGGTAAGAAAGGTTGTAGAAGGCACAATCTTGGCAGGACCGCAAGTGTAACCAAGCCCGGGACCAAGCAAAGTGAAGTTCTTTGGAAGTTTGACGGTCTTGTTTGTAGTCCCGGCCAAACCAACACTGACCTGAAACTGAGAAACAGAAGCAGATGGGTCCTGTCCCCACGCAGCCATGACACCGCCTTTGCAACAGTTTGAGAATTGCTGATTGTAAGGAACACCGGGCAGAAGGTCGACGATAGTCGGGGTTTTCTTGCAGCAGTGAGGTACATTCCCTTTGAACTTTGAGCAATCTCCCTGTTCTGTTGTTTGTGCACCCACCATGGACCATATCACTTCTTTCTTAGCCCATGTCCATCCTAATGTCCATCCCGGATTTGGTACGTGCCGGTACATTTGGAAGTTGTTCATCGTTACTACAGCCTGCAATAGCAATGGTGCATGCATATAGTATACCAAGAGGTTAATAACAAGACTTCTGATTCAAAACTTGCATATACATACCACATAGCCATCTGATGTCCATGACATGACATCCCATTTGATTGTAATGTTTCCATTAGGATCCAGCGGATCATATGCAGCTGGGAATGGGGAAAAAACAGAACAAGTTCAGTACCTTTTGCCCTGGAAGAGATGTTCAGAAAAAGGGTTTCCCACCCAGTGTGTGTAAACATTGATGAAGGGAACTCACTTGTACAAGAGATGAACAGGAAGAAGAATAAGAAGAAACCCGAGACGGATAGCCTCATCTCCTGTGATATCTTCACTTGGATGAGCGAAAGCTATTCTTCGGTTAGCTGCTCCTGGGCAAATGTGAATGCTAATGGGTGTGTTTATGAATGAATTCAAGAAAAGCCTTGAACTGTGTTCTTTGGCTTCCTGAGGATTGTCCACCAACTGGTTGTTGCATTCTCATTTTAGATTCACAATTTAAACTGCATTTTGTATATATCCTTCCATTTCTGCATTGTTCACATATCTTGAAGCAATGGTCATGGTGATTGATAATGGAACGACAACCAACGTGTCAGTCAGAGGATATTTGCCCGATTGTAACATCTCAACTGCTGTTTCTGGTTGAAAGAGGTAACACGTTAATGTTGCGCAGTTGAAACCAATGATTTCAACTGACAACGAAACCGGCTCTGTTCTTGAGCGTTCTGGATTTCGACACAAACCAAAAATTTATAAATAAAAAGTTAGATCTGAGAAAACGGAGTCTTAATCTGGATGCTGTGTTAGGTAAGAGAAAAGAGTCGAGTTGAAGTAAAACGTGGTGGGGACAGATCATGTCTCCAACGTCACTTCCTACTTTCCAAAGCTTCGCACGCCGATTCATCCCGTCATCTTTACATGATCCATCCAACCATTACATGCTACAATTTGTGAGGAAATGGTTCATGAGCATTGATCCAAAAGCTCTTGCTTGTAGACCAAACAAACCAGATTCCTGAACCAGGGAACCGGTTCTAAAAACCAAACCGGATCAGCTCGGTTTCACTTCTAGAACAGAACAATACACCATTCGTTAGAACCAATCTCAGAATAAGTGCTTCACCAAAATGTATGATAAAGTCTCCGTATCGTTCAGACGCTTAGGAAGAAGTCGGAAAACAAAGGACAAAACTGGCAAGGAATACAGTAGGGGGAGGATTTGAGATGACAAATCTCTTTCGTATCAAAGTCGAGATTGAGAGCTTTTCGGGTGGAGAATTTTTCAAGAAGATGAATTCTTCAACGGATGGTCAGTCCCTGAGTTGCAGCTGCTGATGTCTGAGAGCCGTCCTCCGTTATCTTGTTAGCCTGAATTGTGCTGATTACATTCCCAATGTTATCCTGCACGACGTAATCGATAAACCAAGGAGGTTCTTATATGCATTCCCACAAACAGAGACTCAGAAAATTTACACGAGGAGGAATCTGTATTTACCCGCCAAGTTGCAAGCTTCGTCCTAAGAGATTGCCACTGCTTTTGCCCGAATATACGCTCAGTGCAACGGCTGAAAAAATGAAAACTGTATCAGCTGATGCTGAGATTAAAAGATATGTTTATATATTCATACACTGCTTATAATAGAAACGGCTAAAGAAATCCATGGTGGATATGTATCTTTTCCTGTGTGCTAATACCATTAACACAAGGATCAATGAGATGATTTTACCAAAGAGAATCAGAGAGAAGCACATAACACTTGCCTCACAAGTATGACTTCGTTCATCTGGTCCATCTTACAATCAATCAACTTCGCAGTTATCGCCTTTACCACCCACAATTCAACCTCATCACTGTTTATCTGCAACAAAAGACAATGTAATTTGTGAGGAGTCCCAACAGGGTTTTTATAATTGTGTGTCCTGTACAAATGAGGAAAGGTTTACCTGTAGTGTATCCTTGATAAGAGCATATGGAATTCGCCCAGATTCATCAGAAGCCAAGTCAACTAGCGACATCAATCTCATCTTCGCTACACAGTCTTCATCAACAAGACCTGCAAATCATATGTGCTTTAATACGCTGAATACTTCTCCAAAAGACAGAAGGATTAATTATAATATCGTGTTACCCAGCAACCGTATAACAACAGTACCATATGTCTGGAGAAACCCTGAGTTTGCATTTTGGAATTCTAGGTACGCATCCAGCCTCTGCGTAAGAAATATCTTCAGTAGCTGGAAAACTGGTGCATATTTAGCATCCTTCTCCAGTTGAGCTACAGCCGGCATGTCCAGTAAATCACACTGCAGACAGTCCAGGATTGTGGATGAGTTTCCAATAAAATAACAAGGCAAATCAAATGCATTAAAAAATTCTTTAACGATCGGAAATAAATAACAAGTCAAATCAACATCCATGCAAATAAAGATGAATCTCACAGACTCAATTTACATGAAGATTTATAAACTATGATACCTGAAATATACCAGGCGCCTTGACAAATTCAACAACAGCACGCACAGCCTCCTCCTTGGCTTCAGCCAGGACTTGAGAATCATCTTTGGAGAAAGTTGCCAGATACTTGGTAAGGGACGTGAAGGATTCTTTTGCCATGCTGCAACAACGGAACAACCATAAAAACCAATGAGTCAATTCTTTACCGAAAGAGCAGATTGTAAACTTGTCTGCAGTACCTTTTATTTTCTCTCAGCACATTAGCAATGGCGAGAAAAAGTTCTCTCTGGTCTTTGATGTCGAGATTCCACTCTTTCAAGAAGCTGTCAATCTTCTTAAAAGAAGGCAGTATATATTCAGTAACCTTCCCGTTGACCGCTAGTTCCAGTGCTTTCATATACACCTTGAAACGAGCATATGGTTGGGCCAGTAGATTATACAGATTGAAAATGCTGGTAAAGACCAAACAGCCAATGAGAAACATGTCATACATGATTAAAGCATTATCATGTATTGCTCAAAAGAATCATACAATCATACATCTTCAAACGCAATGAAGCTTTGTCATTTGGCTGTTGAGCGATCTTTGATGATATAGCCTTGGCCATCTCAAGGGCTTCATCAGGGTTTTCCACATTCTTGACAAGACTGCAAATAATGGTGTAGGCACACTCAAGATCTGTGAACAAAATGCAAACAGACTGAAATTATTCCTTCAATAACACAGCCAATCAAATGGAACAAGTTCATGTACACATGAAATGTGAAATGGATATAATACAAACCTTTCTCAGAAATCTTGGTCGACACCAAATCAGCCGAAGTTAGCATTAGCGTGGCCAAATCCAGCCACCTGCTAGCTACAATAGACTCCTGAGCCTCTCTACATAACCTGGTAACATGAGGCTCCGCAACCTAAGCAAGAAAAGAAGTTCTTAATTCAATCAATAAATGATGACGCGACATCTTAAACTAAACTTTGAGCAATATGCTTACAAAAAAAAAAAACAGGTAAGGCTTACAATAGTTACTAACACTTCCACTATCCAAGAAGAACGCTTAAAAACTAGAATAATCCCACGAGCCGGAGAGAAAGTTACATGATCAAATAATCAAATGAAACAGGACCCCATAAGATCACAAACTTCTACAATCCCGAACATCTAACAGAACATGTGAACCAAACGCAAACACGTCAACACTCACCCCATGCCACCAACACACATTTCAGGACCAAATTACATCTAACAGATCAAATTCTCTCATTCCAGTCGCCCATTGGCCAATGATTCCAAATCTTCCTCGTGAATCCACATAACAAAAACAGAAGCATCGAGAATCTATACATACGCATAGCACCGAAAGAAAAACCGACAAAACATTTACACATTCATATGCACAAGTCGATGATCCATAAAAAAAGGCGGTACCTCAGGACCGGCATCGGCCCAAGCGAGCTCGGAGGTGAAACGGACGACGGCGAGCGCAGGATCTTCCTCGGAGGTGGGAATAATTGTCGTCATCCTTGCTCTCGTTTGACTCTCTCTCCCTTCTCTCCGACTGGCTCTGAAGATAAAACCCCTAATTCAATATCTTCTCCTTCAGCAGCCGAGCCGTGAGACAGAAAGCAAAGCGCCCCAGAAGAAACCCTAATCGGCATTTTATCATTTCGGGGTTTTTTAACCGGTTAAGCTAAACCGGTTAAAATCATAAACGGTGAAAAATTGAAACCATCTGAATCCGACGGCCGTATTTTCATGAAAAGGGACATACAAAATCTGACGGTCACAATTGCTGAACTCTATCCTCTACTCCAAGTCAGCCACTTTTGGGCTTTAGTTGGGCCATCGTAAGTGATCGATTTCGGCCTTTTTAACGTCCCCGTTTGTGGCACTGTGAAAGTTGTTGGGCCAGGCCTTTGTGTCTAATTTTGGATTCGTTGTAAGCCCTATTATTGTATAAATAAAATAAAATACGTATCACTTTTTTTGGTATAAATACGTATCATTTGGTATGGTTCATTATTATTTTTTTTAATAAGATTTGTACTATGGTTCATTATTGTTAAAGGTGTGAAAATGGAATAGAAGGAAATGACAAATCTATAGAAATGGAATCTTAGTTTAAAAAAAAAAAGAAAAGAAATGGAATCTTATGGCAAAAAATAATTCGTAATGTGAAATATAAGTAGAAAACTGCAAGTTGTTCGCATCTCCTCGTACACGGCCCCCTACACACATTGCCCCGTTTTGTCTTTTCAAGCCCCTCTCATTGTATTTTACCAACTCTCTATTTTTTATGTATATAAAAAAAAATATGTTCACCAATTTAATATCTCATGCATGTGTTGTATAACCACGTAGGAATCATGTGGTATTAACGTCCGCATTTTGTAATAATGTATATAATATATAGTTTATATCCCACCAATTTGATGTTTCGTAACATTTGCATGTAAATTCTGACAGAAAAAAAAGAGAGAAGAGAACCCATTACTTTGGGAGAAATCCTACGGACGAGATTTCCTCGTTGACTTCTTCGAAGATTTTCAGTGACGTCGGAATATGGCAACGAATGACGTGTGAATCATCGTGTGTGTATATATATATTATCTCATTGCCCATCACGTTTTTTTTAAAATTTTCTTATATAAATCAACAATATAGTATACATAAATTGAAAGTGTAAAACTCCAACAAAAAAAAAAAGCAGTAAATGGGGCCATGGTTTACATACCTTTGTGGTTGTCCACTTGCGTGGTCTTTGGCAGAAAAAACATATGATGGTTACATGGTTTCCATACCCCCCCCCCCCCCCCCATTTTTCGATGTCATTTTACATTTTTTATTATTTTGTTTCCCTCTTTATTCCCCCTTTTTTCCCTCTTTCGTCGAAATAATTTAGATTTTTTTAGAAAAATATATATGAAGAGATATTCAAAGAGAGAGAGAGACGGACCAAGCTCCAAAGTGATATAATCATATATCAAATTTGGCCGCACCCTAGCTAGTATCGATTGTTATGGTGACTAAGGGTTCGACTGGTTGTACCGCAACGGTTGCGGTTGCGGTTGCGGGTGACAGCGTTTTCAGAACGTTTGATAGCGATTATATTCATTTATAACTGACTGGTTGAGAAGTTGCTGTTGATATCGATTGCGGGTGGGTGCAGTTAAAAGTGAATTATTCATTACGGTTGCGGTTGCGTTTTGATATAAATTGTCAAAAAAAAATATTATTTAAAAATAATTTTTTATAATAGTTTTAATTAAATTTTTCGTATCATTTGATAAAAATTATTTACTAAACTTATAATAATTAAATAATAAATTTAAAATATAAATATTATCAATTTAATTTTTTTTAAGTAAAAAATAATTTTATTATAAAAATTATTAAAAATAATCATTATTAAACTTAAAAATTATACTATTGTATTTTTTTATTAAAATATAATACTAAAAATAATATCAAATCATAACAACAAAATCATCACCAATATATATATTAATGTTTTATATAATTTCTAATAAAAATATTTTAGTTTTTTTGTCAAAACGCTGGAAACCGCTACCAAAACGCAAGTTGGAAGCTGCGATTAGAAAACACAAGTTTGGTTGCGGTTGCGGTTGATTGCGGTTCAACCAGTCAGTTTTTCAATCGCCCGCAATCGCCGGAAATCGCAACCGCTCCGTTTGCGGGTGGCGGCGGTTCAACCAGTCGCCCCCTAAACGACTATATTTATATTCATCTCATTCATTCAAGAGTCTATACCATAAGTCAATTATAAATATAATAAGCATATGTATATATATATGTGTGTGTGTATATATATCAAATATAAGTTGGAGACCACAAAAGTGCAAGATTCATATATTGATATGTGATGGAACCTCATATCCACAATATGCATATATAGAGAGAGTTTTAATCATGACTTTGATGTATAACCGTCACGAAAATATAACCCTTTCAATATATATA